TGATTAAAACGGGGAGAGTCAAGGTATGAGGAAAGTGGATGAGACAATTGTTTTCGATTCTTTTTCCCTCCTGTATCTGCAGTAGGGAATGGGGGGGGCACTCCCAGCAGCCGACCCATATTGGTACTAGGGGCTGGGGAGATGGCTATTTAACATCATCCTAGGATCCTCAATGTGGAGATTGCTCTGAGGGTATTGCTTAGGTGGTCTCAATAGTTCTGAGATACTGTCAGTTTCCTTGCTCCAAGGTTGAGGACACCTTCCCAAGGTTTGTGGCTGACACAGTCCACCTTCGAGTATCCATTGGCCCAGATCCAGTAAAGTTGTCCTGTTTTAACAAGTTGCCTTCCATCCTCTTACATGGTCCTTGGTGTCCTCTGTAATGTAAACCTCCAAGAGCTGGCTGCCACGTCCCTCGTGTGCATCTGGGCATGCTCTCTCCTCTGCACAGACATCACCAACCAAGGAGGCCCGGTCCCGGTACATGCATTCCAAGGTCAGACCATAAATCTTGTGATTTTTACATGATCAGGGTTTTGATCCCAGTGGGCTGGCTGGTCTCCCAGAAATCTCATCTGAGTTGACTCCAGACCTGACTGCTGCATGTGCCAGCCAGAGCGGCGTCTGGCTCAGTCCATCACCTGCATCAGCCAATAAACACACTGGTGGTTGCAGTTGCCTGGACAGTTCTGTCTCCAGCCCTATCTCATACACAAACCAATAGATGCTGTGACCCAGGTCCACCCTTATCCCTGTGCATACTGGTGTGGGCAAAAGCAGACTGGTCCAGTCCGTCCCAATGCCATCCAGCTCTCTTGTACACAGCCATGGGTGTTGTAGCCTAGCTGAGCCCAACTGACCCCCCTATCTAGTCCACATGTACATGGTGGGTGTTGCCACATTACCCAGTCATGCCAGCCCAGCCCTGGTTCTAAAACTCACTGATGGGAGTTGCAACCTATTATATGGGTGCCCACAGTTTCTCTACAAGGCTCACTCCCAGCCCAGGATCTTACATTTTCCAAGGGGTACTGTGATCCAGCCTGACACGAATTGCCCCCAGTCCCGGCACTTGCCAGTGCATGCTGTAGTAAAGCCTATTCAGCCTGCACGTATTCAGGCCCATGCATGAGCCAGTAGATATGGTGGCCTAGCTCAGCCCAGCTCTCCCCAAAACCCAGCTCACATGCAGGATGACAGCCTGGTCTGCCCAGTTTCAGCTCTCTTACTCACCAATGTTAACAGTGGCCCAGCAGGAGAGCCCCCACAGCTGCCCTACCAGGTTCACCCCCAGCCTGGGGTTTTGCGTGTCCAGTGGATGGGTGCTGCAACCAAATCTGGCGTGGTCTGCCTCTCCTCCATGTTCACTGGTCAGTGACGGGTGCTGAAACCTGGCTCCACCCAGCCTGGCCCTTGTTCCAGCTCTTGCTGGCAGGTGCTGCACCCTAGTCCAGCCCAGCCAGCACCCAGTCCCAGCCATAACTTGGCTGGTGTTGTGGCCCAACATGGGTTATCCTGCACCCTATCCTGCATCTCACACCTACCAGTGTATGCTGTGAATTAACTCAGTTTGGCACAGGCCAAGGTCTGACCCACTCTCAGAGCTAATTCACATGTACGCCAACAAGAACTGTAACCTGGCCTGGTCTTGCGGCTTTTGATGGTGGCTGCTATAGCCCAGCTTTGGCCAGTCCACCCCCAGATGTGGCTCTCATGTGGTTCAGTGGGTACTATGACCTAGCCCAGCCTGTCTGACATCCACTCTCATGAGTATCAGTGGTGCTGCAGTAGCTCAGTCTGACACCCCCCCACACCCAGCCCACATACATGCTGAAGGATGCTGCAGCCATATCCAGCCCACTCTGCCACTCTCATTTTGGCTCTCACATTCACCAGTGGGAACCACAGTCCAGCAACAGAGCCCTTAGCTCCCCTACCACGCCCACTCCCAGCCACAGATCTTGCTCCTGCTGGTGGTTGCTTAGACCCAGCCTAGCATGGCCCACACCCCCATCTTGGTCCTTGTTAGATGTTACAACCTGGCTTGGCCCTACCCACCCCCAATGCCAATTATTGCTGGTGGGTGCTGCAGCCTAGCCCTGGCCTAACTTACCCCATCCCTGGCTCTCATGCAAACAGACAGGCACAGAAGCACAGCATGGCCCATACCTCATGCTGGCTCCCATCCATGCCAGTATGTACTAACACTGGGCCCCACCTTGCCCAGTCTACCCCCTAGAGCCAGCCCACAGACCTGCTAACAAATATGAGCAGCCTTGCCTGGCCTGGCCTATTTCCAGCCAAACTGTTGTGCTCACCAGCAGGAGCTACAGCCTAGAAGGGGGATTCCCTAAGACCCCCTGCCAGGTCCACTCCTGGACCCAGATCTTACACATGCCAGAGGAGCCCCCTCACTGAGTTCCCCTATATTGTTACTATAGTATAGTTCTCCATAAAAGTCATATGTCCATGATTGCAGGCATGGACAATGGCAGAGAGTCCAGCATCCTATTGTCAAGACATAGTAAACAGTTTCTTTGGGAGTCCATCTGTGTCTGGAAGTAGAGATGCATACTACATTGTATCCTCACATCTGGATATGACAGTATCCATTACACAGTTACTATACATCCCCTAAAATGAAAGCTACAAAGCAAAATCAACAACAGGAAAAAAACAGAAATTAACAACACCATGAAATTAAATAACATGCTACTGAATGCCTAATGTGCCGCTGAAGAAATGTAAAAGAAAATCGGGAACCTTCTTGAAGAAAATGATGCTACTGTACGATCTATGGGTCACCGAATAATTTAATCAGAAGAAAATGTTTTGAAGAGATGAAACTAACAAAAAAAAATCAAAATCCATGAGATATAGTTTCCATTGATCTTTGTTGGTGAGATTTGTTTCCTGTAGGCAACAAATAAATGAGTTTTGCTTTTTAATCTGGTCTACTAATCTTTGAAGCTTGATTGATGAGTTTAAGCCAATTATATTCGGGGTTAATATAAATGGGTGGTAATTTGGTCCTGTCATTTTAGCAATGTGTTATTCATTGATTTAGTCTTCTGTTATTATTTTACTGGGATGTTCTTCATATTTGCCTTTGGTTTTGGTGGATGCTATTCCTTTACTCTGTCAAGAGAACATCTTAAGGTATCATTTGCAGGGCAGGTTTATTTTTGCCCTGTTCTGCTTTTTAAAGAAGCAATCTCAAAAAGAATCGAAAACAATGACTGACACCAATAGTGGCTCTCTTCATAATAGCTTCAAGGTACAAACAACCCAGATGTCCACCAACAGATGTGAGGACATAAACATGTACCAAACCTATCATATATGCATACAAGGAGATGTTAGGCATACAAAGGAATGAAGTACAGCTGCACATTCCAAGTGTATACAATTCCGCGTAGTGTATGTGATGAACCTGCAATGCCTTGTGCTAAGCGGCGGAAGACAGATCACCTACCCCATTTCTGTGAGGCAGCCAGAATCCAGTGCCTGAACACTGGGCATGTGCCAGGGGTAGACAGAAGGAGCAATAGGAAGTAACTGCTTCATGGGGTTCAGGTTTTACTTGGAGAATATGAAAATCCTTTGGAAATAGTTGCAGATTGCATAAGCTTATGAATGTAAATGTCAATGAACTGTGTATTTTTAAAAGCTATTAACTGATCAGAAAGAATGAGAGAGGTGAAAGAGATCTTCCACTAGCTCTGACCCCCCCGTCAGTCTGAATGCAGGATCCAGGAAGCTCAGCGCACGCTTCCCACCTGGGTCGCAGGGACCCAAGCATGATAGCCATTGCCTTCATGTGCAAAATCGGCTCAGAAGCAAGGATGAGAACACACGACTCTGGCATGAGGGTCACGTCCCAAGGGCTGGCCTACATGCCCATCCCCACCCTACACCTGAAGATGGTTTGATGTTCTGTTACTTTCACCTGCACTAAGACATTTTTAAAAAAAGAATTATTTACTTCAAAGGCAGAGTTACAAAGAGAGAGACAGATCTTCCACACACAGGCCCACTCCCAAACGGCCCCCAGTGAAGCCAGGAGCCCCATCCCGGCATCCCATGTGAGTGCAGCGGCCCGAGGACTTGGATGGTTTCCCCTGCCTTCCCAGAAAGTGCAGCTCCCAGGACCCCACACCCATTTGAGGTGCCAGCACGGCCGGCCTTGGCACTACCGGCTGTACCACAGTGATGTTTCCAATGGAAACGTTTTTGCCCTCAAGCAAAAAATGTGTTTTCAGGTGCTGAATTATTATCAGACATTACACTGCAGTGTGTGAAGTTTTAGAAGTTGCCTCTGGGTCTCGGATCTTTTTCTTTGAAAGGCAGAGTTAACAGGGAAGAGACAGAGACCTTCCACCCACTGGTTCACTCCCCAAATAGCTGCAAATGATGATCAGGAGCCAGGAGCCTTCTGGTCTCTCACAAGGGTTTAGGGAACCAGAGGTCATAATTAGAGAGCTGGATGGGAAGTGGGTCGTTTGGGACTCGAACTGATACCACATGGGATGCTGGCTCAGCAGGCTGAGGTGTAGCCTACTACACCAGGCGCCAGCCCCTGAAAGTTTCGTTTTTAAACATTAACTCTATGGACATCTGATGTCGTACATGACCCTGGTGCCTGCAGCGGCATATTGCAGCAATGCTGTGGCTCCTTTTCCATTTGGATGAGGCAGGCAGGCAGAAGGCCGGTCCCAACTTTCTAGAAATCCAGCAGGACCTCCTGCTCTGGCGGGTAACGGGTACAAGTACCCGTTCGCCGTGCAGACGCGGAACCGGGCTTGGCGACGATTCCCCAACGCCCCAGCAGCTCTCCCGCCGACGCCGGCACAGGCCGAAGCCGCCCGGAGCGGCCGCCTCCCGCGTCACTCCAGCCCGTCGGCCCCGCCCCTCGGGCCAAACCCCACCTCTTCCGCCCTCTGGCCCCGCCCCGACGCCCAGCCCGCCAATCGGAAGGGTGGCCGACGCCGGAACAGGCTTTTGGCGTCGCCCGACGGGCGAGTGGGCGTTGAGGCGCGGAGCTGGGGAGCCTTCCGAGGTCCGGCGGGTCTGCGTCAGCGCAGGTGGGATGGGAGTCCGTAGCTGGGCCCGGCGGGTCGGGGGTCCGCACCGGAGGGTCGGGGGTCCGCACAGGTGGGCTGTTCAAGGCTCGGGGGTTAACACAAGTGGGCCCGGCGGGTCGGGGGTCCGCACAGGTGGGCTGTCCGAGTCACGGGGTTCCGCACAGGTGCGTCGGGGGTCCGCACCGGCAGGACGGGGGTCCGCACAGGTGGGCCCGGCCTGCAGGCGCGCGAGGTTTGACGGGGGTCCGAGCGAGCAGCGTCTGTCCTCGGGGGAGCCCGGGACCCTCGGCCGGGCGGCCGGGCCGGCTGGATTGTTACCTGCGGAGGTCCAGCTGCCAGTGTCTTCAGCAACTCGCAGGAACGTTGGGTGGCGCTTGTGAGTGGGGAGTTAGTTGACAGCGGACCCAGGGGGAGCCAGGGCAGGGGTTGATGGTTAAACTCGCCTTCGATCCTGGCCTTCGCCGCCAGGAAACCATCGGTGCCCGGCGACCAGAAGTGAATTTGGAAGCAGTACCCCTGGAGGCCGTCTCCCTTGGACTGCCCCTTCTCGGCGTCCTGTGAAAGGCCAAAATTCAGCAGGAAAATGGTGTTAGTCTCTGAGGAGAACCAGGCCTTTGTCTTAAAATGCTTCTTTTAAGATAAGTAAAACTGGTGCTAGGATGAGTGAGTGCACCGAGGGTTGGAACGAGGGGTCTGTTCATTCTTGGTGAAGTCGCTGGGCGCTGAGCAGGGCCTTATTCTGCAAAGCCAAGGTTGATGACGATGATGACCATGTATTTCTCCTAAGCTCGAGACAATTTTGTAGGCGTAGCATTGTGTTAGATGCACAGTTGGTTTTTACCTGTAAACCTTATGAAATTTAAATTTACTTAACCCTGTCTTCAGTTTAGTTACCCCCTTCTTCCCTCCCTCTCCCCTCTCAAAAAAAAAAATATTTTTTTGAGGTCGTTACATTTTGTCTGTTGGTAGTTCTGCACCTTCATCTTTAGGTTGGGTGTTGGAATTTTTTTTCTTTCCTGCTGTCCCCCAACCCTGAGAAATTTTTTTCACCTAGATGTCATTGAAGTTTGCAGCTTCCGTGAGGAAAGGATTAACTTCTTTAAAACCTTTGTCTTTAAATTTATTGAAGAGGCAGTCCTTCAGTTCCTAACTGCTTGGCAACAGGCAGAGATGAGGCGGACCACCTCCTGGGGGAGGAACGTAATCCAGGGCTCCCATGGGAGTTGCAATGTGACACTGAGTGGAGGACCTAGAATTCTGCAGGATGGGGTGCCAGCATCCCGCCTGGCTTCTGATCTCCCAGTCGAGGCCTGCCCGCCTCCCCAGATCATGTCTCTCGTTTTCCCTGTGCGCCCAGAACCTGTGCAGTGCCTGTGAAGTCCTTAGGTTGTCAAATTTTCTTTTTATCTTGCTGTTGAAACGCAAACTGGCAAAAATCTAAGCAGACTCTCAGAATAAACGTATGCAGTCTCCATGCTAACGATGCAGTGCAATCAACATTGGCCAGGGGTTTCAGCCACATGCTGATTCCTGAGCTCTGATCCACAGCAGTTAGTTGGCATCTCTAGGAGGTGGCACGGGGGCATCCCACTACTCAGAGCTCTGCAGATTGCTCTTACAGGCTCAGGATGAGGCCCTTGTGCTGGAGGAAAGTTCTGGAACGTGTCTGGTTTCCTTAAGGTACAGGCACTCCAGGACTGGGAAGGAGCCGCATCTGAGAATTGCAAATTCATGCATTTGGGGGAATGTCGTTAAAGAGGATTGTTTTTTTCTGAATCAGCGTTGAATGCGTATCAATTAAGGCCAGTGGGTTGTCTAGTAGGATGACCTAAGGCAAGAATGAGAGTGGCAGCAGTGATGGTGGAGATGGTGGCACACTCAGCTTGCCTGGAATGCTAAATATTTTTGGAGTAAGAAAAATCAGATTTTATTTGCACATTAGTTTGCCTTACCTGGTTGAAACTACTTTTCAACAATAATGGACAGGCTGTGGTACTTTGCTTTTTTGTTGTAATGATTAAAAAGATATATAAAGAATGTTTGATAATTGTTAGATCATGTGCTTCTTGATAGCCTCATGCTAATGTGAAGGTTTTATTGTTTTTGCTCTTGCAGTACTTTTTATCAGATCGAGATGGTCCTCACCCTGTCTCCTCAGTGCCCATAAGTTTCTCTTCTTTCTGGACTCATACTTTACGCCACGATGGTAAGCTGCAGTTCACTGCGTTCAATTATGTTTTGGAATATTGTCTTCATTCATCTCTAGATAGTATGGATAAAGAGGTAACTCTTGTAAACTGTGGGAGTTACCCTAGCTGAGAAATTGCAGTAAAATAAATGAGTCATCTCAATTCAGTGTTACAATGATCACATCTAATTTATACAGTTAATCCAGCTATCTGTTCTTACATTTACAGAGTGTTGAAAAGACTTGTCCACTGGCAGGAGGATGGGTATAAATGGCGTTCCTTTTTAGGAGCAGAAGTTGCTCATTTTAAGGCTCCTTTATATTTAGCTATTACTAGTTGAAAGGCAGGGATCGCCTGGATTGCTGCGTGTGTTTTGAGCAGCGTTGGTGCTAGCCTTCCAGGGACACATGTCTGTTATTTGACTTATCAGTCCCTGAGCAGCTTTTGTCGTATGCATTTACGAAACACCATCTTCTAATGTTTTAAAGAAGCAGCAACATTTGACAGAATCAGTCCTGACCACCGCATGGAGTAGGACATCCAGTTAGATAAACCCACCCTGTAACACAAACCTCAGAAAATCTTCCTTCTCCTTTGGGGATGTGTCCTGTCTGTGCCTTGCCCTACGGGAGAAAAGTGGCACTGTCTCCATGGCCTTCTGACCTCACTTTCTGAGTTTTACTTATAGTATAGATTAATTTCTCTCTTAAGTATTTGAAAGGACTGGGGAATGGGGGCCCTGCAGGTATTTGTGTACCTTGCTGAGTCCTGGGACCCGATTTCAGTGGGAATCTGTTCCTGCTAAGATTTTTTTTTAAAGCCAATTGGTGTAAATTTCTTTTAACTGAACCTTTTGAAGCTACAGAGGCTCCAGGCTTTTCACTTACCACATTCAGATGTTGATACTGTCCGTTGTTTTTGATTGCAGTCTAACGAAAGGATCGGTTTCTCTTGTAGTTAGGAATTCTCCATCTACAAGCTAGTGTAGCACAGGCTCTTGGAACTAATCACGTGGTCGCTTCTTACCCTGCTGGGATTTTGGTAGGCGCTGTAGTTTTTACTACATGCAGTGTAGGTTAAATGATTGAAATCTTCTAAATAAAACACAAATTTAGGGCCCGGCACGGTGGCGCAGTGGCGCAGTGGTTAAGGTGCTCGCCTTGCACGCCCGGGATCCCATATGGGTGCCGGTTCTAATCCCGGCAGCGCCGCTTCCCATCCAGCTCCCTGCCTGTGGCCTGGGAAAGCAGTAGAGGACGACCCAAAGCCTTGGGACCCTGCACCCGCGTGGGAGATCTGGAAGAGGCTCCTGGCTCCTAACTTCGGATTGGCTCAGCTCCAGCCATTGTGGCTGCTTAGGGAGTGAACCATTGGACGGGAGATCTTCCTCTCTTTCTTCCTTTCTGCATATCTGCCTTTCCAATATAAATAAATAAATTTTTTTTTAAAAAAAAGGAAGTCTCAGAATTGAGGAAAATGTAGTTTCTTCATATTTCTCCTTCTTGCCTTAAAATAAGTCTGAGAAATGGATGAAGGATGGAGATTTACTAATAGATTCTAAACTTTATGTGTTGTAATAATACTATATTTCACCAGTTATACAATGCAATTTCTTTTTATATTTTAATACTAACAACTTAATGATAAGTATGCAGTGACAATTTAAAATGATTCAGTGTTACCTAAAATAATGCTGCCTGCTGGACAGGTGTGTTGTGCCTTGTCCATCATGCTTAAGACCAAAAGTATAATAAGATATATTGGGGATAAGACCCAACTTTAAACTCAGAATTCCTTTATATTTCACACATATTTTGTACTCAACAGTTTGACGATATTTGACTTATTCTTGATAATTTTATACATGCAGCAGTTTTTTTGGTACAAAGTTTCTGCCACTTAGGTTAGCGTGTCAGTGCTCAGAACGTTTCAGATTTTTAGATTAGTCATCCTGTAACTGTTGGCCTCAGCAGTTCGTTGAAACATGGTAATGATAGTCCTCCCTAATTGTTTCTACCAGACAGTGGGCTGGAGATATTGTGAACTCCTTTTATTAATAGGCATTTCTCATCTTAGATAAAGTGCCACCACAGCCCTTCACTCAGCCACAGGATTCCTAGTAGACTAGGAGCGTTTAGTTTTTGCCTCACTTCTATTACATGTGTATACGTGTTTTTCTGAATGGTGCTCCCAGAGTGTTGAAGTGAAGTTAATGTTTGTAAAGTGGTGGTAGCTACTATATCCAGCCCTCACCTAAACCGTCCTCACGAACTCCTGCTGTAGACCCTATTCTAGCAGTTCCTGTCTAATTTTCGTCGTAATCAGATGTGAAGACTGCTGTATTTTTTCTTTGTTAGGTATGTTGATCATGAAATGGGGTGAAAGAGAGAAAACTATTAAACCTGTTTTAGAAAATGAAACACATTTTAAGCATTTAATTAGAAGTATGAAATGTGTACTAAGTGACCTTTTATGAAAATAACTAACACTACTAAATGCACTGTTTACTTTTTACAGCAGCAAGCTTTGGAACAAGCTTTGGATCGTGCAGAGGTGAGGTGTGACTGGTTACATGTTAAAATCGTGTTATCTTTAGTTGATGAAAGTTACATTTTACAGTATTTGGTGTGTTATCTTAAGAGAAGAATTTTAATATTAGAGAAAGTATACAAATAATTTTCCTGTGCTTTTGTAGAAGTGCCTGGTGATGTTTGGCTCATCAATTACTTAGCATCATCAGAAATATTAATGATGTTATTGAATAAAAATTACTGAGAGAAGGACATAGAATTTAAAAAATTGTATTTTCCTATTTTGATATGTTTTCTGATTATGTAATCAATGGGGAAATAGTGAATATGTGTAGGTATATATATTGTCCTTGAAATTAGACATACCATTTCAGTCATTATGCATATCTGGTTAATGATAAAACATATTGAAGAATATTTCTGGTCATGAAATCAGTTGTGAAACTGCTTATATAATAACAATGAAAATACCATGCTAAATCTCAATTCAGTTGGAATTTCACTTGTTTGTAACATGTAACAGGATGTTGCATTATATCTTCCAACAAATTATATGATTTTACATGTTTCACAGACATGAGTAACAGAATAGCATGTTTAACCTTGCAGACCTCTTAGATAAGCAGTATTTAAGAGTATTTCATACCCAAGCAAAAAGCTAGCTGTTTTCATAAATTTTTCTTTTTTCAGTATGTCATTGAAAGTGCCCGACAGAGACCTCCTAAAAGGAAATACCTGTCTAGTGGAAGGTATGAACACGTGATTGGTGACAAACTGGGACTCATTGAAATACAGTAATAGCCATCATTTGCTGCCTGCCTACTAGGCAGTGAGCTATACCTGCTAATAGGTTCTGTGTATTGAAGGAATTCTAAGTTGGTGTTAGATAGCTACAACTCCACCCACCCCCAGATTGGGGGCAATTGAAGAAAACATGGGAAAACTTAAAGTAGGGAAAGTTAACATTTGTTTTATAATGATTACTATATAATTGTTACAGTTTTTATCTTTGTATCATCTGTATTTTATTTTTGTTTTAGAAAATCTATATTTCAAAAGCTTTATGATTTGTATGTTGAAGAATGTGAGAAAGAGCCTGAGGTTAAGGTAAATATACATTTTTTATGGGATTGTAGCTTTTGAAATGTTGATAGTCACTTCTGCAGCTGACCTGACCGGGATCCTCTGATTATTTTTGCCCTAGGCAGGAGTCAGGTGCTAAGGCAGAGGTAAAGAAACAGTTGTTGTTGAATAACATTGTCTCAGTGAGAGGGTTGAGTAAAACCATTGTGTGTCTTATCCCACTTCTTCATGAGGAGTCATTTATGAACTTAGGATAAGAGGAAAGTAACCTATTTCTTTATGATGATTTGCACTGAGAAGTCAAAGCTGGACATACAATAAATTCCATTGTGATAAGAAAGAATGGATTTGGTCACACAATATGTTCATGGCTATTTAAGTTTAAAGATGTGTTTATTTTTATTTGGAAGGAAGATTTTTCCCAAGAGAGAAGGAGAGACTGAGAGAAGGTCTTACATCTGGTTCACTCCCCAAATCAGAGCTGAGCTGATTGGAAGCTGGGAGCCAGGAGCCCTTTCTAAGTCTCCCACATGGATGCAGGATCAAAGGATCTGAGCTATCCTCTGCTGCTTTCCCAGGCCACAAGCAGAGAGCTGGATGGGAAGTGGAACAGCTAGGAGACGAATCAGTGCCCATTTGGGATACTGGCGCCACAGGGTAGAGGATTAGTATGTAGTGCCACTGTGCCAGCCCCAAAGTTCTAACTTTAAATTTATTCATCTTGGGCCCAGCGCGGTGGCGCAGTGGTTAAGGTCCTCTCCTTGCACACCCGGGATCCCATATGGGCGCCGGTTCTATCCCGGCAGCCCTGCTTCCCTTCCAGCTCCCTGCCTGTGGCCCGGGAAAGCAGTCGAGGACGGCCCAAAGCTTTGGGACCCTGCACCTGCGTGGGAGACCCGGAAGGGTCTCCTGGCTTCGGATAGGCATAGCATCGGCCGTTGCACTCACTTGGGGAGTGAATCATCGGACGGAAGATCTTCCTCTCTGTCTCTCCTCTCTGTATATCTGCCTTTCCAATAATAAAATAATAAGAATAAATCTTTAAAAAAAATTTTATTCATTTTAAACACAAAGCTATGGGCAGAAATATGATAGAAGTTGATTTCTTGATATCTTCTAAACACTCTTTGAAAGGACCTTAAAGTACTGTGAGCTTTTCTTGTCTTTAATTTTAGAATGTACACCGTATTTTTGAGCAGACAGCAAAGGAAGTCCCATGGTGTCTACCTTTAGAATCTTAAAATTGGGAAAAAAATGTTTGGTAAACTTGTACATAAATCATATGGTATCTATTCTGTAAGTTTTACTTGGGTACATTTAACATAGAGTATACAAACTTAAAATATGCATTCTTTAAGTTTTGTTGAATGCCATGTATGTACCTGGGAAATAATTACCACATTCAACATAATATACATTGTGTCACAGGTAAGATAGGAGAGAAACATATGTAAAAATTGTAAATTGGGGTTAGTAAGCTCCTGTACACAAAATATGACCAACTGCATGATTTTGTAAGTGAACTTTTATTGAAACCTGCCATACTGGTTTGTCTGGGTCTTTGAGGTACAAAGGTAGAATTTGCGTAGTTGCGACATGGAGCATTTGATCCACAAACCTAGACACTATCTGAAATTTGAAGAAATTTTCAACCTTTTGTTTAGATTAGATTGGTTTAGTATTGACTTGTTTTCTTGGAGAGATATACATAAACTGTTAGAATTATTCTGTCTCAAGTCAAATTATGAGGGTTTTTCTCTAATTGAAAAGATTTTCAAGTGTTTGTTTGCTCTTGTTTTTTCTTTGTAATGGTTAAAAGTTGTTTGCCATTTTTACCATTTTCAAATCGCATAGTATTTGATATTCTAGATCAAGAATTTATAATTCCTCTTTACAAATACATGTGCATGTGTGTATGTTCAAGTATATGTAAAATATGCAAAGCCGATTTGGTTTTCAGGGATGCTGGGAAAGTAAGTATACTGTTGAACCAGGTATTTTTCATAAGTAAGAATTTACGAAAAGAATTTCTGTGCCTAATCAGTGGGTTTTGTTTTAAATCCTGCGTTTCTAGAAGCATGGATTTTGACGTATGTACCTTGTGTTTTCCTGATAGCTTTTTAAACAAAACTGAACTTCTTTCTAAAATGTTAAATTGGATTTACAGAGAATTCTCTACTTTTCTTACTACTTCTTATGAAACATATTTTTCAATTTAACATGTTCCTGGTTAGAGCTATTAAACTTATTTGGATCTAATTTAGGTTACAAAATATTTAAGAAATTTGCATTTGCTCTCATACAACCAAAACTGATGTTCCAAATTCTTCATTTATGTTAGATTTATATGTAGTAGAAAACAATATTTTATCATCTGCATTTTTGTTTGTATCTAATAATTTTAGTGTTTTATATATTTGTATTTTCTAGGTAATTAAAAGCATATATTTTAAATCTTAAAAATTATTTTGAAGATCACCAAGTTTTCTGCTTAATGTGAACTAGTGTGTATAAAACTTAGTAATAGCTCAAAGTTAAGTTCACGCACCTAGTGGCTGGTTTCGTATGTGTCTGATAATGAAGAGCATCACTTTTTTTAAATTTTTGTTTATTTTTATTTTTGAGATGACATTTTAAATTTACATTGTAGTCATATACGTAATGCTTCTGTAAATCTGGAGTTTGAGCAGGAAAATAGGCAAGGGTATAAATAATGGTCAGATGAAAAGTTAGCTCTATAATGATGGTTTTGTAGATTTTGCCTATATATTCAGGATTATGATGTGGCCTACAAAGTAAAGCTTAATGTAGATCTGATTTATTCAATCATAGTAGTACTTTTTAAGGTTATACTGGATTGTTTTCATGAGCTTTGCCTCTTTTTAAAGCAGAAAATAAGAAGAAATGTGAACTTGTTGGAGAAGCTTGTTATGCAAGAATCTTTGTCATGCTTAGTGGTCAACCTGTATCCAGGAAATGAAGGATATTCTCTGATGCTCAGGGGAAAAAATGGATCAGGTGAGACCCTCAGGAGCATGGCTGCCACAGAAAGACTGCCCGGGGAGGACAATGTGCTGTTTTTAAGTTGATTCTTAGCTTTCCAAGTGTTTTGTCCCTTAAAACAGGGATGACTGAATGATAAGAGATTTTGATCTATAATTTATCTCCTGGTGTATTTTTGTAAGATTTAGAAGGCGTCTCAACTATGTGTGGTTAACTTTACAGAATATGCATTTGAAAGTATTCTTGTCAATGTGCCTTTGAAATCAAGTTAGAAAATACATGTTTTTTGAATGTTTGCCAAAGCTTTTGTTACATTGCTGTTTGTGCTTTTAGACAGTCTTAGCTGTTTATCGTATAATTCTTACTTTTGCATTTTAAATATACTGAGCCTGAAACCTTCAAATTTAAGCAGACTCTGCATTGTGACTAATTTCTTTGTACTAAACTAAGCTATTGTGAATATAAAAATAATTTTAAATATAAACATTCCTAGATTTTACTAAGGAGATATTTTGATAGTAATATGAGTTCTACAAAGAGTTTGCCTAGTTAAATTTTTCTTCTGTTAATTAGTTGTAAAACTGATATCAAGATAGATGAGGAACTAAAGTACCATTAATTTCCAGATTAGGTTGATAAGTGTATTTCCATTTAACTTCGACAGTGGAACTTCATCTCTTTCTGATTATTGACTGATTAAGATTGTAACATTATAGGAGGCAGTTTTCTACAGTGTACTAGGCATTTTTTTCACTTACTGCTCTTACCATCTTACACAATAATAAGTCTTTAGACATACATAATGTGATTGATTTGTAAGGCTTAAAGAAGGACATCAGAACTTTTTGGCTTTTTGTTTGTTGTTGTTTTTAATTTTATTTTGTGTTTTAAAATTAAGATTCTGAGACCATCCGACTACCTTATGAAGAAGGGGACTTGCTTGAATACTTGGATGCAGAAGAATTACCTCCTATCCTGGTTGATCTGCTAGAAAAATCTCAGGTACAAAATGTGTCTGTCTAGAGTCTCCTTATATTTGTTTCATGTGTATTAGTATGTGTAGATAAATGTGTTATAGCTATGTATAGATACATGCACATAAATGGCTATGTCATGCTTTGTGATAAATGCTGTTTAATCTTACCAGTTTTCCCAACAGTGCTTAGAACATGAAATGAATATTATACATGGTTATATGGAAATTGGTTTATGGAGGATATTTAACTTTGTACAGCACTGAAATACATAGAATTAAGTCAGTTCTGAAATGGCTATAATCATTAGCTCACCAGTAGTAAGTCTCTTTATAATAATAACAAAGAAATTATGAAAGAAATTATTTTATTTATGAAAATTTTCACTTGACTGTCAGAAACTGGTCTTTACATTTTTATTTTTTCATGGCCATTTGAAGTATTTGCTCCCTTGAACTCTGCTCCTGCTTTTTTACTGCATTGACTTAGCCACAGCCGTTCTGGGTCCTTAACGCAGGAAGCAGCCATCAACTGAGAGCTCCTGTTCGCTGCTAGCACCATTTAACCAGCATCGCCTTTACCTCGCTGCATTTTCTGCCTGCCTTCCTGTTAACAGGAATGGAGTATGGCGTTCCTGGGGCATCCTCCAGTTGCTTTCTGGATGGTCCTCTTTCTTCTTAAGGACCTGCAACTGAACATCTATATATATATATTTCTATCACAAGATACAGAATAAAAGAATACTGTACTGTCTCTTTTATTTTTTAAATTAAATCTACCCTCTCGCTGGCACTGTGATGTAGCAGGTTAAGCTGTGGCCTGAGACACTAGTATGCTGTTGGGCACTATTAAGTGCCTAAGCTGCTCCACTGCTAACTCCACTGGCAATGCAGTGGAAGATGGCTCAAGATTGCTTGGCCCCTGCCACCCACATGGGAGACCCAAATGAAGCTCCTGGGTTTGGGTTGGCACAGCGTCAACTGTTGTGCTCATTTGAAAAGTGGCCTAGCTAATGAAGGATTGTCTAGCGCTTTGTACCTTTGCTTTTCAGATAAACACGTCTTAAAAAAGAAAAGAAAATCGTCGCTAACCATTGGTCATTCTCAGCATTTTCTGTTTCTGATAACAAAACTGTTTGGAAAATTCTCTCTGATCTTCATCTCTTTTTTCTTCCATCCACCTCATTTGTCAATATGACATCCATTCTACAAAGTTGCTAGTAATCTGCATGGCACTTTTCTGATCTGACCCTAATTGGGGTCTTAGAAAATGTCATTGTATGTGGCTACTTCCTCCTTGAAGTAGCTCTGTTTGGATTCTGAAATATCGCATTCCTGGGTTTCTTCTTCCTTCTGTCTCTCTCTTTTCAGTCTTTGCTGTCATCTCCAGGTTGCTGAATTTCAGGAAACTGTTCTAGAGCCCAGACAAACAAAGTAACCAAAATGACATTCTTTCTCTGAATGAAATTAACCAATTTTGAGGGGTTTTAGAGTTACATAATCCCTTGCATTTCTCCAAGCTCCCAATCTACTTACTGAGACATATGCTAGCTTCCTCAAAATTAACATGAAAAAAATAAAACTTTTTCTTTATCTCCCAAATCATTTCCATCACCAGTCGTTTCAGTGTTACAGATGATTCTACTTTTAACTTCTACATTCAGTACTTCAACAAATATCACCTCCCTTATGTATAGTCATGATGTACCATGGTTACCTTGCTGAACTTGCATTCTAGAATCCCACAAATCAGTTCTTGGACAGCCAGCTTAAGTTTATGAAACAAAAATGGAAAAACACAGCAAGCAAACATCCCTGCTTTAAGTCATCCAGTGCCCTCCTAAAAGGACAGGGACCCCTGTTTTGCTGTTTGTCTTCTCCTTACCACTTATGCCCCTCAGCCACTGCACCTTCCTTACTGAAACTCCCCAACTTAAATCCTGCTATAAGGTCTTGCCATTTGCTCTTCCTCCTATCTAGAATGATCTGTTCAAGATTCCTGGTCCTTTCTCGTGATTCAGGTCTCAGTGAAAACGTTACTGCCTCCAGTGGGTTTATAACTTAATATATCATCTAAATTAGCCTTCTGTTTTTACTTCCTTTAGAGCGTCATTGAAATGTCTTGTTTGGCTTTCATGCTTAGTGCCTGTTTCCCGCACTGAGAACAAGTGTTGTCTTATTGCTGGGTCTGTGAAGTTTATTGAATGGTGCTGGGTGCATGGTACACATTGTGATTGCTCAGTAAATTTTCTGCTGATTAAAAGAATGTATACAAGAATGACTGCTAACATGGAGATCGCCCTGCGCACTAGAAGTTCCAAATGAGTGAAAAACATGGTAACATCAGTGACTGTGGCAATTAGTGATTAGCAAGGCTTGAATGATACAGTTCCTTGTATTTGGATAAAGGACTAGAAAACATTTTCAATTTGAATTTGTATCTAGCTTTTATCCTACTAGTAATAAAGGCTTACATTTTATTTTTGGGTATCTCAGCATTGCAGACAGAGAGCTTATATCAGGAAGCAGAATCTCTGGCAAGATTGATTGGCAATTTATAACAATGACAAATTTGATAGCAGTGAACCCACTAGCTTCAGAGCCACAGTGATTCCCAATTCCCAGGATCTGTCAAAAGTAATCTGTTGACTTTGTAGTGATAATGTTGGTCAGTAATTAAAAAAAACACTGGTTAGTTTTAAACTGATTCTTGAGTGATAGTGATGGACATAAGATAATTGTTCTTGAATATTTATACAGTGAGAAATATCCCGAGTGGATCCATCCCACAAGCATTGTATGACAGTGTGAAGAATGAGAAGCGTTTCCCACAAGCCCGTTTATTTAGACTTTGGAAAAATGACATCTACCTAACTATGCTTATCCAAAATAGGTTAACATTTTTCACTGTGGATGTGTCATAGCGGAAATACGTGACTATAGGCAGTCCAGTAACATGAAACCTCCTGGCTACCAAAGTAGGCACATTCTCTTACGTCCAACAATGCAGGTAAGGAATGATCAATTAAGAAATAATTTTTTAGGTTTTGTTTGTTACATTCATTTTTTGCTGTGTTTGTGTGCATACACATTAATGTATTTTTAAATTTTTATTTCTTTTAGACTTTAATCTGTGATGTGCATTCAATAACAAGTGATAACCATAAATGGACCCAGGTTAGTTGTTTCGGGTTTTTTTTTTTTTTTAAAGATTTATTTTTATTATTTTTTCATTGGAAAGGCGGATATACAGAGAGGAGAGACAGAGAGGAAGATCTTCCGTCCGATGATTCACTCCCCAAGTGAGCACAACGGGCCGATACTATGCCGAACCGAAGCCAGGAGCCTCTTCAGGGTCTCCCACGCGGGTGCAGGGTCCCAAAGCTTTGGGCCGTCCTCGTCTGCTTTCCCAGGCCACAGGCAGGGAGCTGGAAGGGAAGCAGGGTTGCCGGGATTAGAACCGGCGCCCATATGGGATCCCGGGCGTGCTAGGCAAGGACCTTTAACCACTTGCGCCACCGCGCCGGGCCCCAGTTGTTTCGGTTTTTAATCCCAGACTGGCAAAACATGGGATGAAGCAACAAGCCACATCTGTTTTCTGCTCATATTTACACATGAATTGATTTGAAAGGCAGAGTTACAGAGAGAGAGGAGAGACTTAGAGAGAACTCTTTGATCAGCTAGTTCACTCTGTAAATGGCCAGAGTGGCCAAGGGTGCGAACTGTTGCTCCGTGGGATGCTGATGTTACGGGTGATGACTAAAACACAGCACCAGCTGCTGGATTTCTTTAGCTATGCAGTAATTCTGCAAGGATTCCTAACAGTTGGATCCTAGTTACTTAAGACCCAGTTACTTAGGCTCTGTAATGGCCAATTTGAAACTTGAAACTTTGAAAACTCTTTAATCCTTATCTCTCAGATTGAAGAAAAATGCTTTTACCATGGATGCAAATAAGTCATTGATTTTCAGTTATCCAGAATTCTAAAGCTGGCCAAGCTATCTTTTTTATTCTGCCCTCTTCCCCCCCTCCCCATTTGTAATGCACGCAGTGGCGCTGGGGAGCCTTTGTCATCCCTGAAGATAGCCAGGTCACTCTCCCGTTCTGATTCAGTGTGTGTTATAGTTTCAAAAGAAGATTCATTTCTCCGCTATCATAGATAGGAAAAATAACTAAATTAAAAGAAAATACCAGTCACAAAACTCCCTTGATGAAATTTGATTATGAAGTCAAATTTCTTTTTAAAGATATATTTATTTTTATTGGAAAGTCAGATACACAGAGAAGAGAGAGAAAGAGAGGGAGATCTTTTATCCACTGATTCATTCCCCAAGTGGTTGCAACAGCTGGAGCTGCACTGATCTAAAGCCAGAAGCCAGGAGCTTCTTTCCAGAGCTGAGCTGCACCAAAGCCAGGAACCAGGAGCCTCTTCCAGGTTTCCCATGTGGGTGCAGCGTCCCAAGGCTTTATCCTTTCTCGACTGCTTTCCCGGACCACAAGCCAGGGAGCTTAGGTGATAAGCTTATGGAAAACTTTGCAGTGAAAAGATCTGAATTGTAAATGGGACACCTGCTAATCATGTGATGTGTGAGAGGAAGTATGTAGCAGTACCAGTAAATAATTTTATTCTGAACAAATGAAGCTTATAGTCAGTCAAGCTTCACATTTGGATTCTTGGAAAAGAATCCATTAAGTGGTATAATGTCAGTTCCAGGTGGGAGATTCAGTTAAGATGCACTATTGTGGCAAGTTAAGCCGCTGCCTATGATGATGGCATCCTATATGGGCCCCTGTTCAAATTTCAGATATTCTACTTCCTGTTCAGTTCCCTGCTAATGCACCTGGATGTATGGGCTCAGTACTGTTGCAGCTACCTTTTGTCTCTCTCCCTCGTTCTGTCTCTCTGTTTTGTGTCTCTCTCTAAATGAATTTTTTTTTAAAAAAAGGATTCAGTTAAATTCAACAGACACATGGAAAAAGAAAAGGGACGAGGTGATCATAGAAGTAGAAAGATGCTTAAAGAGACAAAAAACCAAATACATAAAGTGGTAGATCTTGTTTGAGCTGAAGTTCAACCAACCAATTGAAAAATACACTATTGTAGATAATTTGGGAGAAATTTAAATCTGGACCAGATCTTAGAGGACTTTAACCAACTAGCAGTCTATGCTATTGAGTTCTCAAAAGAGATAAGAATACAGGAGGAACAAGATGGTGGAATAGGGTAAGGACACGTTTAAACAGGTGGAGAATCATTAGCCAGGGTGAAGCAGTAAGAGCAGATTCGAGGAAGTAGGAGAGGAAACCTGATGCAGAGGGTCACCTGGAGACTGATGGACATGGGGAAGCAGTGCAAACAACGATGTGGTGCTGCAGTGACCCTGCACCCCGGTGGCATTCAGTGAGTGGTGATCCAAGCTCCGCCAGTGACCAGAGCTCCACCAGCAGCCAGGTGGGAAGCGGAGTTCACCAGGAGCTCAGGAAGTGAATGCAGGCAAAGAACAGTCCATTATGCTATTGTGTATGATCGGACCAAGAGCAGAAATAGAGTAGCAGACCCAAACAGGCAGTGTGGAAACAGTGAATTTCAGAACCCAGACCCCCAACATTGCCACACCAGGCACCATTTTGTGTAGTAAGGCAAAGGCTGGGGGACTGGAAGTACAACAGCAAGCTGTGTAAGTGCTAAGCCAGGAGTGACCTCATTTCTGACTCAGTGCATTGCACTGTTCCCCCAGAAAAAACAATAGCAATGTGGCAACCTACAGGTTCCACCTAAAGCAGGTCCAAGTAGTCCCCAGACATAATGGCCAACAGATGCAGAAATTCACCAGTGCCACATGAATCGCCATTGTGTACTGTGTGACAAAGGCATGGGACTGGAGGAACAACAATGAACTGTGCATGCATTAAGTTGGGAACAAACTCACTTCCAGCTCAGTGCATTACACTGGTCCCACAGGGGAAATAGTACTGAGTTTGACCTCCTACGGATCCCACTCAAAATAGATCTGGGTAGCCCTCTGACCTAACACCAGCAGATTCTGGCAAGATCAGCACCACCAACAACCTAGTTATACAGCACATCTGGTGTCTCCCTAATCCTGGGAACTACAGGAACTGAAAAGAGGAGAAATTCAGCCACAGCATGGAATCGTAGGAAGTGGAGAGTGGTGAGCCAGGGGCTGGGGCCACAAAGACTGGTAGAAGCCTAACACAATCACTCAGACCTGAAACTCGCTGAGGGCAATGGCACCAGTGACTGAAAGAACCTAGGACCAAAAGCAGTCAGAAAAATCTAACTGTAGACCTGTGGGTGACACAGCTTAGAAACCTGCCCCAAGAAGAAGAATCTGCTAACCAGGAGTGCAGTAACCAAGAGCAAAAGAAGAGACAGAGGAACAGTGAGTATTACTGAAGACTCCCCTGCAAAGGAGCAAAAGCCTTTGCCAGTCTCAGAGATGGCTGAGGAATACATTGAGGAAATAGGGGCAAAAGAATTTAACAAACTTGTGACAAAGCTTCTTAGCAAAAATAAGAAGCATATGTAGAAATTTAAGGAACATTGACATTGAAGCAAAATCAAGCAGAATTTTTGGAAATGAAGGACACAATGGAGCAAATTAAAAATTCAGTATAAAGTCTCAATAATGAATGAAGCAGAAGAAAGAATCTCAGAGTTGGAAGATGTTTCTTGCCACAATGGGAAAACCAAAGCTTGGAGCAGGGCCCAGTGAGGTAGCCTAGTGGCTAAAGTCCTCACCTTACTCGTGTTGGGAGCCCATATGGGCGCCGGTTCTAATCCTAGTGGCCCCGCTTCCCATCCAGCTCCCTGCTTGTGGCCTGGGAAAGCAGTCAAGGACAGCCCAAAGCTTTGGGACCCTGCACCCGCTTGGGAGACAAGGAAGAGGCTCCTGGCTCCTGGCTTTGGATCAGCTCTTCTGGCTGTTGCAACCACTTGGGGAGTAAGTCAGTGGATATAAGATCTTCTCTGTCTCTCCTCCTCTTTTGTATATCTGACTCTCTAATAAAAATAAATAAATAAAAGCTCAGAGCACATCTGGGTCAAGCTAAAAAAAAATATTCAAGAATTAAGAGACACTATTAAAAGGCCAAATATAAGAGTAATGGGAGTTTCCAGATGTGCAGAGAGGCTGGGGTTAAAGCTGTATTCAATGAAATAATAAATGAAAACTTTCCTTTTGTGGAGAAAGAATTGCACAATAACATACAAGAGGGGCACAGACCTCCTAACAGTGTTGACCAAAAATAATCTTCTCAACACATGATAATCAAGCTCTCTTCAGTCGGACATAAGAAAAAAATCTTTTAGTGTGCATATGTAAATAGTCAATTGACGTATAGAAGAACTCCAGTCAGGCTCACAGCTGACCTCTCATGGGAAACTATAGGCCAGAAGAGAATGGAACTTCATATTCTTGATTCTAAAAATTAAAAAAAAAAAATTGTCAGACCAGAAAAACATACCCAGCAAAGCTTTCCTTTATCTCTGAAAATGAAATAAAATTCTTCCACAGTAAAGAAAAGCTCAAAGAACATACCTCTTCCAGACCTGCCCTATGAAGGATATTTAAGTTGTTCACTTGACAGAAAAAAAGAAAAAGCAAGTGTGGGGAACATCCCAGTAACATGACAAAGGAAGACAAAAACAATGAACAACCCATTGAATGACAGGACCAAATTACCACCTATTCAAATTACCCCTGAACATGAATAACTTTAACTCATCCATAAGACATTATAGATTAGTAGACTGGATAAAAGTAAAAAGCCCATCTCTGTCTCCCACAGCAGACATGTTTCACCACGATCAGCACAAACTATCATGGATTTTAACGTTTTTATTTTCCGTTCTTCAAAACACTTTTTTTCTCGTTAAATTCTTCACTGGCAGTTCATATAGTAGCATCATTTTCTTCAACAAAGTTGATTTTCATTTCTTCAGCGACACATTAGTCATTCAGTAGCATATTAATGAGCTTCATGGTGTTGTGAATTTCTATTTTCCTGTTGCTGACTTTGCCTTTTGGCTTTTCGTTAAAGGCGATTTATAGTAACTGTGTAATGGAGATTATCAAATCCAGATGTGAGGATGCAATGCAGTATGAATCTCTACTTCCAGATCAAAAAAGGACTCCCAATGATACTGTCAAATATATCTTGACCATAGGATGCTGGACTCTGTACCAATGTCCATGCCCACCATGTCAGGATGGACTTATGACTATTTATGAAGAATTATACTGTTATAATAATATAGGGGAGATTGGGGCAGGAGGGATTTTGTGGAGTGGGTATATCCCAGAATCTATGGCTCTGTATCATTAAATAATAAAAGCATGAAAAATAAACAATGATGAATTACATATTTTAATCATTACAGCAAATCCAACAAAAATGCAAGTGAACTATTGTAAATGAAATTGACTATTGGTACATAGGTTTCATTACACATAGCCTTGAAAATACTGAAAATACAGAATTACTGAAAGTAATTATTTTTCTTTTGTAGAAATTCTTATTCATTATTTACTCGACTTCTAAATTAAATTTGAATTATAGCTATTAAGATAATTCATAGGTTAAGCAAAAATGGTAGGGCTCAGTAACAAAGTTTATATAAAATACTAGGTAAAAGTCTGTGCTTTGAAAGTGAGCATATAGAGTTGGCACAATAATTCTTGTGATTAAACCGCGTATAGAATGGGATTATTGTCAGTGACTGGAAGTGTCGTAACCCATTGGGACTGCTCTCTGCAGGAGTAGATGATTTTGTCTCTTGTGCTCAATATTTTATCTTTAACTCCCAGGGGGGCGTAGATACTTAATAAATACTTGTTAAATTAATGAACAGGCATTCTTAAAATATAATACACTCTAAAAACTACAGAATTCTTACTAGAAATTTGTTTATGCTGTCAAGGTGTTAAAGGTAGTTACACCTTCAATGTATTTTGTAATGCTGGATTTTATATTTCTTACCAAAATTACAGGTAATAGTTCTAGATTTATTTAATAAATGCAAATGATTACGTTTTTGAACACCTTGCATGTGATTATGCCATTTGCTGTTTTCTGTTTCAGGAAGACAAACTTTTACTTGAGAGCCAGCTGATCCTTGCGACAGCTGAACCACTGTGTCTTGATCCATCCATAGCTGTAACTTGCACCGCAAACAGACTGCTTTATAACAGACAAAAGATGAACACACGTCCAATGAAACGGTAACTGCCCATATGTAAGGGTGAACCAGACTCTGGGTATTCTGGATGTTGTGTTTTGTGCTTTCTCCCTCAGAGTGTAAGTGCCTTGAAGCTTTTTTTTTTTTTTTTTCTATCAAGTTTCTACTACTCTGCTTCCTATTGAAGCATTGACATTTTCTGCAATTTGCAAGAACTAACTTCCTATAAGTTTACAATTTATTTAATTTATGTTCCTACCAAAAAGATACTGAAGATTGAGAGATTGAAAGAAGACCAAACGTGGACAGATACTTTATAACTTCATAGTAACCAGTTTAAGGTTTGTTCATCTTTCACAGTTCAGAAAAATATCAAAATTTCAGGAGTTAGTTTGTAATTATTTTTTATAACATCAAAATTTATCTTAAATATCTTAATCTTTTCTGAATAGGGATGCATTTTAATTTAGGATACAGTTGTATTTGACTCAGTTATTTGGAAGTTCCAGTTTGGAGAGGCTCAAAAACATAGCTATCTTGTAAGTTCCATGATTTTCTAATAAATAGTATGTTTAGTTGGAAAAGTGAAACCTTGCAGATGTGAAACAAGTACAAGTAGGACCCAGTCCAGTGAAGTCTCTGTTTATGTGTTTCTTGGTCTGGTACCAATACCTTACTCCAAGCCACTATCATCACCACGATTTCAGTAACAAACTCATGGCTGGCCTTCCACCTTTGTTTCCCTCTGGTCTAGTTACTATTTAAGCAGTGTAATCTTTTTAAAAACCTCAAACCCCATCATACTACCCCTTGCTTAAATTCCCCCAAAGCATTGTACTTCACTTTAAACCAAACACACTTAGACAGACATTTGGTTACAGTGTTTAAAATGCTGGCTGGCATAGCCACATCCCGTTATAGTGCCTTATATTGATGCCTGGTTCTGTTCCCAGTCCAAGCTTCCCTTTGTTGTGTGGACCCCAGGAATTAGCAGATGATGCTAATTAGAACTCTACCACCTGTGAGAGGCTAGGATTGAATTCCCAACTCAGAATTCTGCCTTGGCTATCACCATTGCAGGGATGTGGGGAATATACCAACAGTCCCCTATATATGCCTCTCTAGTTAGTTAGAAAAAACAAATTTATATACAAAAATATATTGGTCTTCAGAGTCCCCTACTGTCTGAAGTCATCTACTGCTGATACTAGTCATATCAACCTTTTTTTTTTTGAAGATTTATTTATTTTGAAAATCAAAGCTTGGGAGATAGAAAGGGAGAGAGAGATCTTCCATCTTCTGGCTCACTCCCCAAGCGGCTACAACAGCTAAACCTGGGCCAAGTCAAAACCAGGAGCCAGAAGCTTTCTCTAGGTCTCCCATGTCAGTGGCAGGGTCCCCAACGCCTTGTCCATCTTCCACTGCTTTGCTTAGGCCATTAGCAGGGGCACAGCTAGTGCACATGTGGAATGCTGGTGTACAGGTGGTGGCTGTACCCCTACACCTGCTTTTTCCTTTGAAAACTGTTCATTTTTTTCTCTGTTCCTTTTCAAATTCTGTTCTTAATACTTACTCCTTCATCTTTCATGATTTCTTTTCCCCTTCCCCCAAGAGAATTTCCCCTCAATGTTAATTCCAAGAACGTTAGAAGAATTGGGATTTCAATGACTGGGTCTCCCTGGAGTTTTTAAGCTATCAGCTTTGTCCACACAGAGGATGCTCGACAGGGATGCTTCAGGTTTCTGTAACGCAGCTGGCTCCCAAGGAGACTCGGGCTTAGGTGTCACTGCTTCAGCAGCCAGCACGCTCTGCACCTGCCTGGTGGTCTTCAAATCCAGCAGCAGGAATGTGCCCTGAGACTGACTGTCTCTGATACCTCTTGCCTGTCTTTCCAGTTTCTTGTCCAAAGAGTTCTTCCCTTTCCTCCTGTCGTTGATGGTGGCCCCCTCTCTGTCACTTAGCACATTACTGTGTGTTTTACCTTCTGCATACTGCTATGTGAATTCTGAAATTGTTGATTTGTAAATGTCTTTCTCTTTAGGAACTGTCAGCTCCAGAATTGTCATGCTGCAGACCTGGGGATTTTGGTTTGTTTTACTAGCTTTAATTCGACATCTCTTAATGTTTCAGATGTTTCAAGAGGTATTCCAGGTCCTCTCTGAACCGGCAGCAGGATCTGTCTCATGGTCCTCCACCTCCTCAGCTGAGATTACTTGATTTCTTACAGAAAAGAAAGGAAAGAAAAGCAGGTCAGCATTATGACCTCAAAATTTCAAAAGCAGGAAATGTAAGTATGTAATTTGTAAGTAAAACTCATTTTGCCATCATACCTACCTTCCTTTGAATTTTCATTGTGTTTATTCTTTTTTAATTTTTCAGTGTGTAGATATGTGGAAACGGAGTCCATGTAATTTGGCCATACCTTCTGAAGTGGATGTAAGTCAGTGTGTGGATTGCGTTGTTCATGTAAGGTTGCCTAGGTGGCTTATACTACTGGAAATCAAAAAAATCTTATTTTAAAAACAGAATTTTGTTAAAGAAATAATTGTAGTAATTGTTTTTATAACCTACATATTCCTTTTTTTAAAGACATATTTATTATTTATTTAAAAGAGAAAGTGCAGAGTAATCCTTCATCTTCTGGCTCACTCCCCGATGGCCGCAGATGCCAAAGCTCAGCCAAACTAGGCTTGCTGCTCTGTGTTCTTTCACACTGTGTCAGAGCATGACTCTTTGATGTAGTTCTGTGCTTCAAGCAGAAATAATAAAATAACTTCAGAATGTTGAAAAGTTTGGAATAGAATACAAATGAAATAAATTGCTCTGGCTTTTCTGCCTTATAGTGTTTCTTCTCTCAAACTGATTACCTTTAAAGATTGCTAGTAACGGAGCAGGAGCTGACATAGAGGCTTTCAGTAGTTTTCTCTACTGATCCATGACATATATAAGTCATAAGTGGTCAAAGTTAAAAGAGGACAATTTTGATAAAAGGTATATTTTATATTTCTGTTTCCTTCCCCAGCGTTCTTTCTTATTGCTAATCTGACTCTTAGTAATTGTTTTGCTGTTTTCTCAGATTTGTTCTTTTGTGTTTATCCTAGCCTACCATTTGCACTATTTCTTAATTTTTTTTAAAATGTGGAGTTAAAAAAGGTAAAAATGTCAGTTGACTACATATAGAACTCTAGAATTCAACCACATAAACTTTTGGTAGCTTTTGCGCTCCTCAGGGAATATAGACTAGAAGTCTGCCTCTAAGGAGTTGCCTGGATACCTACAGCAGTGCCTCCCAGATTCCTGCTTGGCAAGTCTTGACTTGGATTGGAAATGCAACAGTTCTCAAAGTTTCCTAGGTTGCATGGCACTAGGCTTCACAGACTGAAAGGTTCACAGTCTGCCTGAATTGGAAGGATCACCTAGGATATAAGTTAGTATGTTGATTTTCAGCTTACTTCAGACCTACTTATGAATCAGTCTTCAGGAGAGTGGCATGAATATCTGTGCTTTCAGTAAAGTTAGAGTGCCTAGATTTGAGTCTCTGTTCCAATTCCAGTATTCCTACTTCCTGTTAATATGTAGGTAGTCTGGTAGTTAGTACTGTTGGCTTAAGACATTGGTTCCTTGCTGCCCACATGGCAGACATAGATGGAATTCTGGGCTCCTGACTTCGTTCTGGCCCAGACCCAATGGGTAGGCCCATTTGAGGAGTGAACCGTTGGATGAAAAATTGATAGAGCTCTCTCTCTTTCTCTGTCTCTCTCTCTCTCTCTCTCTCTGTACCTTTTCTAGCCACACTTTTACCTCCCTTCTCTACCCTCCCACTCAGACCCTGTACTCTGTTGTTTAAATAATAAATAAAACTTTAAAATTACTCATAGATCATTGCCATGCTAAAGAAGGGAAGATTTAACTTAGCATAGATGTTTAAAAGAGAAGATATACAAGGTATGGGCTCAAGTCTGATGAGAAAGTGAAGCAAGTTCAAAGAATTTTGTCAGCATTTGTATTGTAAGTTCCCTGGTCTCTTTTAAACTTTGCTTCCATTACTCCATGACTACTCTTGTTCAACTGAATACCCTGCCAAAGGAAAGTATTCTGAGCATATTTCTGACATCCAGTTTTCCTACAGGAAAACCTGAATGAGATGTTGATGTCAGCTTGTTGAATAAACAGAAGAGGCGTTGCCCAAAGAAGTACCTGTCCTCATTGTGTTTAGTTACTGGCAAACAGATTCTGATTTTGATTTATTAAAATTGCATGTGTTGAACAAATCAGGAGCATAAGTAGTTAGTGCCAGAGTAGATAACAGTGATTCACGACTTATATGAACAAGTATATTGTTGATTTAGCTTCTTTTTGGTTCATGCTGATGACATTTTATGTGCTGTTTTGATTTGGCTGTATAGGTGGAGAAATATGCTAAGGTAGAAAAGTCCATTAAATCTGATGATTCACAACCAACTGTCTGGCCGGCCCATGTAAGTAAGCATTTCTTTCTTTCTTTTTTTTTCTTTTTTTTTTTTGGATTTATTTTTATTGGACAGTCGGATATACAGAGAGGAGGAGAGACAGAGAGGAAGAGGAAGATCTTCTGTCCAACAATTCACTCCCCAAGTGGCTGCAATGGCTGGAGTTGAGCTAATCAGAAGCCAGGAGCCTGGAGCCTCTTCCGGGTCTCCCACACGGGTGCAGGGTCCCAAAGCTTTGGGCCGTCCTCAACTGCCTTACCAGTCCACAAGCAGGGAGCTGGATGGGAAGCGGGGCCACCGGGATTAGAACTAGTGCCTATGTGGGATCCTGGCACGTTCAAGGTGAGGACTGTAGGTGGTAGGCTATCGTGCCGGGCTTTGTAAACATTTGTAATGAAGCCGTTTCTTATCTGAAATCTGAATTTATTAAGTGAAAGTATAATTGCTCCTATGTAGGACCATGTTTTTGAGATTCTTTTCCAGGGGTTTTAAGGAGTTATAAAAAAGACCAATTTCTACATAAAAAAAAATTTTTTTTTTCATTGTAAAGGGACATTTTAATCGCAGAAACATTTCTGCTTCTGTGTGCATAGCGGTAGTTCAGATTTGTTTTCTACTTTAATTTTTTTAAAGCTTTCTCAAAAGTGTTCTTTATAAATCTTTCTGGTTGTAATAACCTCTCCAGAGGACATAGATGTTCAGTATGTTAGGAGAACTGGAGGGCTATAATGACAGATGTTTTATGTGTGTGATAGCAAAAAGAGTCCTGAAGTCCAGTGTGTAAGAGTACAGGCCTGCTAAGCATGGGGCAGGAGAAGCATGAGCGTGAGAAGCGAAGGCTGGAGAGCCCAGCAGGTCGCTTAACATTTCTCTGCTCAGTTCTGCCACCTTTACCGAGGAGACAATATACCAGTCCTGGCATTGCTCTGAGGATTATGTGAGGCAGTATCTGTAGAGTGCTGAGTCAATACTGTTACAGGTTTCAATATGTATTGTAAATAGGATTATTAAGACATTATAATTACCTGTTCACATGTCACCATATTTTAGTACTGATAATAAAAGCTTGCTTATTGTATATATATTTTAAATAAAGCTATCTTAAGTTTATTCTTTAGGGCAACTTAAACAGACTTAATATAGTTAGTTTCCTGTTAGTACATAGGATCTAATGTTATTGCCAACTTTTGTTAATTCTGATGGCTTACTTTCTTGACAAGGCATTTATTTGGGATGCTATTTCTTTTTCAGGATGTAAAAGATGATTATGTATTTGAATGTGAAGCTGGTAATCAGTATCAGAAAACGAAGCTGACCATCTTGCAGTCACTTGGTGATCCCCTCTACTATGGTAAAATACAGCCATATAAAACAGATGAAGAAAGTGACAGCCAGATGTCTCCCTCCCAGTGAGTTCTGATAACACATGTAACTGAAAACTCAGCAACAGAATTTATATAATATGGTTGGTAGACCATTACTGAGGGAATATTTCCCTTTAGGGGTTGCTTGTTAATTAACTCTACCAGTTAGATTTGGCAATGGACCTGAGTGAATTTAAATTACAGTTATCTTACCACAGAATCATTTAAAATAATTTCTTTTGTAAAAACCTTGCTGCAAATTGAGTATCCCTTATCCAAAATGTTTGGGACCTGAAGTGTGCTAATTGCTGTACTTTATTCTTTCAGCTTTTTGCATGTTTGTATATACCTGTTGTAATATTTTGGGTATGTGACCAAATCTAAACATGAAATTGATTTTCTTTTTTATACACCATATGTATAAATACGCTGACCAAAATTTTGTTCAGTATTTTTAATGTAGCACATTTTGGCTACAAGCCTTTTCATTGGGATCATGTGTATAATTCTCCACTTGTGACAGATGGCACAGAAAGTGTGGATTTTGAAGCCTTTCAGACTTTTCAGATGAGGGATACTCTATCTTTGTAATTATTTTTGTGCTTGATTTTAAAGAGATGGCTTCCCACCCAGTGTATTTTCATGTTGGCACTTATGACTGGTCTCTGAGCATGAAATACTTGGGCAATATTATGTTTGATTGAGAAGCAAGCTTACTATAAAAATTAAAGATACATAGTATTTTAGCACTGTGTGTAAGGACACAGACTTGATGCTTAATGTACTTATAGCTCTAGAAATATTATAGACTTCCTAAAATATAGGCACTAAAATAGATACTTAAGCAGGATATCAGGATTTAATTTTTTCTTGTTATTTTTGTTGTTTTACTTTTAAAAATTATGCCACTTTGAAAAGGCAAAAATAGAAGCTCTGCAAAAAAAAAAAAAAAAAGGCAGGGTCTGTATTTGTGTTAAATTGTTTGTAACACCTTTGTTCACACAAGTTACTCATTGAAACTCAAGTACAAAGGTAAATTTTAAAATGTAACTTTACTTTATCAATACTAAAATAAACCCAGAAAGAGAAAATAGCAGCACTCAAGGAGTCCTCAACTAATTTTCTCACATTATGGTTTTTATTGCTGTAGGTTGGATTTAAAGAGCAAATACTTTGATTACTTATAAAAGTCTTCCCTTTAATGATACATATTATAGTTTACTAATCTTTCAGAACACTGGTGTTTAATAAGTGCTGTGATTTAAGAAAATCAGTCCAATATACTAACTAATTTATTTGACAGGAAGAGAATTGGTTGTTTTTTGTTTTGTTTTGTCTCTACATCAGGGAGTTGCTGCAAGAAGACTGCATGATTTATTACTTTCCAATTATTCTTCCATATTCATAAATTATTTAATATCTTTGAAGTTAAAAATTTGAGCTGCATTAACCAAGATTTTTTTTTTACATTTTATATTTCAGCTGCTCCACAGATGATCATTCAAATTGGTAATTAAAAAATAAACAAACTCACTATTGTAATCTATTACAATTCATTTAAATGTCTAATTCATTTAAAAAATGTAAAGATATTTTATTTGAATTGGCAATAAACTGCCTTCTCTGTCTGAAAAATATTCTGAGGTCCTGCTCTGTCGACATAGTCATTTGCTGTGTCAGAAGGAACCGGAGAAGGCCACAGGTCTGACTCAGCTTGGGTCAGTGGCTTTGCTTTAGGGCTGACATTTGCAGGGATGTGTGGCACTTGGTAACTCAGTCCAGATTATATTTTGATAAATAAATTGTACACACTATTTCATAATGCATGCAAAGTTTGGTCATTGTTTCATAAATGTAATTTTATTTTAAAATTTTTTTGCATGATATTTTGGTAGATTTAAAATCAGTTCATAAAAATGCTGTGACAAAATATGGAAGACTACAAAACTAATCCCACGACTCCAAAAGACAGCTCATATCTAATGCTTTCTCTGCTTTTTTGTTTCTTTTTTTTAACCTTAGGTTTATTATTGGATCAAAGACAGATGCTGAAAGGTAAATATATTTTTGTCTTCATTCTTTGTCAAGATAGTTGTAAAAAACAACCTTGTAGGATAGGGAATATTAGAAATTTCTGTATTAGGAATAAGATTGTTGGCTAGTGTTATGGCATACCAGTAAGATCACTGCTTCCTGCAGCACCAAAACCCCATATGGGCACTGGTTCAAGGCCTGGTTGTACCACTTCCCATTCAGATCCCAACTAATGCTCTTGGGAGGGCAGCAGAGAATGGCCAACTTCTTGGGCCCCTGCACCTATCGAAGAGAACCAGAAGCTCCTGACTTTTAAAAAGAGAAATAAAATACTGAAAGCATGTTTTTAGTTTATTGTTAGCAAAATATTGTAAGCATTAACTAGTCATTACCAGTTTACCAGCAAGATGAAGAGCCTGGTTTAATTTTTGTATTCAATTTAATGAAACATTTTTTTACTATTAATTATTATTAATCATTTCCAATGTAATATGTTTGTGGGTATGTATGAATTTACTAATGTAAGGTTATCTAGTCATACCAGTTTTCTGCTGTTATTTTAGGGTGGTCAATCAGTACCAGGAATTGATCCAGAATGAAGCCAAATGTCCAGTCAAGATGTCTCACAGTTCCAGTGGCTCAGCCAGTCTGAGTCAGCTCTCTCCAGGGAAAGAGACAGAAGTGCGTATCATCATCCTGGTCCTCAAAGAATCTGAGAATTCTTGAGGATCAAGTTTTGAGGGGTCCTGGCATTGTTTAGTTTTATTTTTACTTTTAACATTATTTAACTTTTTATAGAAGTGTTCAGTAATAGAAGGTTAGACAGCTGTGCAACGAACACTCTAATATAGTTAGGTGGCCTCACCGGTTATTTCTCTAGAAAAAGTAGATCGGAAGGAAGTGCCTTCATCTCACTCCTTTGTGCCCTTCTTCTTGAAAGTGTTTCTCTTCCCCCGGTGCTCAGAAATGGTTCCTACATCCTGTAGGTGAACTAGAATGTATTTCATGGATCTCATATGAGATTATGTTCCTCTCTACTATCTATAATAATCAGCCTGCCACTAAGAGTATTTTATAGCATTTTAAATTTGCCTTCATTCTCAGGCTCAGGGTATTAAGTTTAATTTACCAAGTGTGTTTTATGTGGCTTGTTTTAGCAACCCGAGACCGTGTCAGTTCAGTCATCAGTATTGGGCAAAGGGGTAAAACATCGACCTCCACCTATAAAACTTCCTTCAAGCTCAGGAAATAGTTCCTCAGGTACTCTAGTCTTTCGTGTTTAAATTTTATTAATGTTTTGATTCCTACACAGTTTTGATTTGTCAGTCTGAGACATAACTTCTGTATTCTAGGTAACTATTTTACACCACAGCAGGCAAGCAGTTTTCTTAAATCTCCAACTCCTCCTCCTTCTTCTTCTAAGCCACGAAGTCTTTCTCGCAAGTCTTCCGTGGACCTCAGCCAAGTTAACATGCTTTCTCCAGCTGCCCTGTCACCTGCCAGCTCATCACAAAGTGAGTCGTGATAAGTTCTTCATTAAGTCTCCATAAACTTTTGCAGTAGTGTTCTTAAGACAGCTTTTAAAAATTTTTTTTCAACCTGTGAAATAGGCAAATCTTAATGTATTATATGATCACAAATGTATTGTTACAAGAGATTTCAGGCAGAGCTCTTACTGGTTGTGTGTATTATGTGTTGATTGTAATTGTATTTTGTTTTTCTGTATCTGTATGCACTCTGTGTATACCTTTCTTGCAACCTACACATATCCTAAAAAAAATAACCTGGCAGTTCCATGTGGCAATAAGATTCCAAAATATTATTTCACTGTAAGCTAGGATCATTGTACATTTATGTAAATATGAAGTTGGTACCAAAAAATGTCATTAAGAGTCATTGCTGCAGGTTTTATCATACATGTAAGAAGCAAACTAGTTCCAATGTGGTGATATAATAAACTGAAAACCATTATTTCAAAAACACACTCTTTTCTAAATTATTACTAGTTGCTGAACTGTGATGATGATCATGAGGCATTTGGAAAAATATTAAAATTATATAATATTTTTCCTATTGTGAATGAATATTTTTTTAACATCAGGAAGAGTTAGACATGAATACTTGGCATTAGTTTGGGAGGACTTCTTCAAACTAGTAAATATCTGGATATTTTACATAATGATTTGGGGGGAAAAAATCCCTGTTTTTTAGAATTTTTTTAATAGCTAACTAATTTGTGCTAAAAGCTGTAGGTACACGGCACAGTGTTAGGGTGGTCTTTGCATTAGATGTAAACCTCTTCATATCGATAGCTCAAAAGGTGTCATTTTTCTGCCTTCTTGTTTTGCACAAAGAAAAAGATGAATTTTCTGAAGTCTTATTCACACGTCTTATGTTGTGGGTATGGATTGTGGTGATCTGCACACAGTTGTTACTTTAAGTAAGGGTTGAGTGACAGCTTCTGGACATTCACATTTCTTTCCTTTCTTTCTGCAGGACATGAAAGCTAAAAAAGAAAACACCTCAAGAGCTTTTGGTTTTACTTTTTTGGTTTTTGTTTTTTTGTTTTTGTTTTTAATGATAAACTGTGCATACTTCATTCACAACAGATTTTTATACATTCTACATTTGAAACAGAAGTACACAGTTACTGTTAAAGATGCAGTATTATCTGTCAAATACTTGCTCTATTGCTTTGTTGTAAAGTTGTTTGTCAGGATAAATGATGTGGTAGGAATTAACCTTGTATATTTAGGTGCCAAATATAATTGTTAACCATGTGTAATTTATTAAATATGATCACAGTTTATCTCAGACTATTACACTTAGTAAGCAACATTTTTAAATGAAATCATGAGCTAGTGAAATCGTAAATAGTGACAATTTGACTTGCTTTTGAACTTTTTAGGCCAAAGGCAGCATGTAGGAAACTAACTAAAGTGGTTATTGTGGTAGAATATAAATGTATATTTTTGCTGTTACCTGAATCTTTGTTGGAGTTTTTAGGGGATATACTGCATCCTTAATTGTAATTGAGTGTAGCAACACTTATGTATCATGTGTAGAAATTAACACTTGCAGTTAACTGCTTAAATCAAAACTGGAACAAATTGTCAATACTAAGTAAGATTCCATTAACCTTATTTTAAGAAGGACTGGCCATTTATAACAAACTAGCAATTTTTATTTTTCTCAATGAGCAGGATCTGGAACTCCTAAGCCATCTACTCCTACACCAACCCCTTCATCGGCCCCACACCCTCCTGATGCTCAGAGTTCAACTCCTAGTGCCCCTTCAACCACCCCTACTCCCCAAGATTCAGGCTTCACCCCTCAGCCCACTTTGTTAACTCAGTTTGCTCAGCAGCAAAGGTCTCTGAGCCAGGCGATGCCTGTAACGACCACTCCTCTCTCCACCATGGTAACCTCTGTAACTCCAGGAGCCACAGCCACCCAGGTCACGGCAAACTCTGCTGCACTTAACTTCATCAACGTAGTGGGCTCTGTTTGGTAAGTCTGCACTATTGTCCTACTTTGTGTTCTAAAAATAATTTCACCAATATACATAATTTTGTGAAATTAAGAACAAACTACATATTACTCAGATTGAAGGTTTGATAGGACAGAAGCTGCCTTACCTGTGTGTTTCCTTTTTAGGTAATGCATTTATTATCTGCCCTAAAGTGACAGCAGCTTGTATTGTTGATCGTCTGTGTTATCATTTTGGTGAAGAGTTTCCTAAACTGTTTTAAACCTTTTTAAATGCATAGTGTTTAGTTTTAGTCAAGCTTGCTATTATTTTTTGGATTTGAATTACAAGTGAGACTAGAAATTGATGTTTAAGATGGAGAAATAACTATATATATATATTTTTAATCTGAGGGATTATGACTGCTTTTTTTCTTTTATCACCCAAGTTTAATGCTTTGTCTTATTCTACAGTGGGGCTCAGACTTTGATGAGTGGTTCAAACTCCATGCTGGGCTGTAGTGCTGGTGCCATAACTCCTGCAGGAATCAACTTGAGTGGCCTTCTCCCCTCAGCAGGTCTGCTACCAAATGCACTGCCCACTGCAGTGCCCACAGCTTCTCAAGCAGGTCAGAATGTTGACAAATTACACTCCAAAGTACAAATGTTACTCGTTCGAAGGGTCTGCTGAAGATACTTACCATCATTGCTTCAGGAAATATTATTTGGCTAGTATTTTGACTGAAAAGCTTTTAACACTATACTATTTGAGTCAAAATCATAATGAAACTTAACAAGTGTATGTGGTTGGGAAATTCTATCTTTTTCTTTCCAAACATTCTAATAAAGTTGGAATTGACTCACTATTGATGATGTAATCATATTCTAATAAAAAACGCCTGGACTTTGAAAGTGTGTGTTGTGCGAGAGAGGGAGTGGCAGCCCCACATCATCCACCTCACTCTTTATGTAGTCATGGGAAAATAACTTCTGTGCCAGGTTGTCCTCATGATAAAATGGGGATAGCTGTATAACTTACCTCAGAGGTTTTAACGTTAATGGACTAAGTACGATGAAATGCTTCAAGCTATTATGGAGACATAATCATACACAAATATTTGATGTCATTATCATTTATAAGAGTAATTGTAGTATTGTTTTTAAAGATGCATTTATTTTTACTAGAGAGGCAGATTTATAGAGAGAACAGAGATAGAGAAAAGGTTTTCCATCTGCTGGTTTACTCCCCAAATGGCCACCTCAGCCAGCACAGAGCTGATCCGAGATTGGGAGCCAGGAGCTCCTTCTGGGGGCCTAAGGGCTTGGGCCATCCCCCACTGCATCTTATCATCCCAGGCTGTAAGCAGAGAGCTGGGACACGAATGTGCACATTTGCAATGCCAGCACCATAAGGCAGAGGATTAGGCTACTGTGCCACTACTACATTGGCCCCAGCCAGGTTTTTTTTGTTTGTTTTTAAGATTTATTTATTGGAAAGATGTATTTACAAAGAAAAGTAGATACAGGCAGAAAGAATTTCCATCTGCTGGTTCACTCCCAAAGTGGCCGATTTGAAGCCAAGAGTCAGGAGCTTCTTCCGGGTCACCCAAGTGGGTGCAGGGTCCCAAGGCATTGGGCCGTCCTCGACTGCTTTCCCAGGCCACAGGCAGGGAGCTGGATGGGAAGAGGAGCAGCCAGGACACGCACCAGCGCCCATGTGTGATCCCAGCATGTACAGGCGAGGATTTACCCACTGAGCCATCACTCCAGGCCCCAAGCCAGTTCTTTCAATGAGGTTTCCCGCAGCAGCAGCATTATGTTATATTCTAATTTGATTATACTTGTTCAGTTTCTTCTGCAAGACTTCTCACCAGTGTCATGAGTTTTTGGTCTTTTTTCGACAAACTTTTCAAATAGAGAAGTTAATAGATTTTCAGTTAGTATTCACATTTGTATATTAATTAGCAAAATATATTCATACTTTGAGGATAGGGTTAGCAGACTGTATCTACCAGGCAAGATAAGACCTGTAAAATCCTGAAATGTTTACTTAGAATTTTCGTTCACTTGAAAGATTGAGCTACAGAGACAGAGAGAGATACGTATTTTCCATCCACTGGTTCACTTGCCAGGTCCTTGTAGAGGCTGGGCCTGGCCTCTGCTAAAGTCAGGAGACAAGAAGTCTGTCTAGCTCTCCCGTACAGGTGGCTGGGTCCCAAGCATCGAAGCAGATATCTGCCACTCTCCAGGATGAACATTAATAGGAAACGGGATCAAAAACCAGGACTGAAGCCTGCCCTCCAATATCCAACATAGATATCCTTAGCAGTGGCTTAACCCACTGTGTGACAACCAAGCCTGGTTTTTGTAAGGTACAAGGGTTTTAGAAAAAGAGTAGAAATGTGTAATAGAAGTGACATTTACTGAAAAAAAAAAAAAATCCAGCTTTAAGATGCTTCTGTGTCACATCACAGATATTTAGGAGTATTTTCAAAATTAACATCGTTCTTTTTATGTCTTACACCCCAAACTTAGCATCTTTAGTATTGTGAATATATGTACTTAAATAGTAGCATGGAACACTCCAGGACTCAGAGTTTGGTTATTATGATATATACTAGATAACACCAAGCAGTTTAAATGGCTGCAACTTCCTGATATGAATTTGAAAATTAGTTTGCTATATGAAGGGTTTTCTCAAAGTATGTGAAAAAATATAATTAAATGGTAATTGAAAATGTCCATGAACTTTATGAAGGCCCCTTGAGTACATGGTATCCACATAATTCTAGTGTGCTCTTTGTCCTGCCAAGCTTACAGAGCAGTTAAAGTATTTTTTGGTTGTTTTAAAGATATTTTGATACTATAGTCTACGGCCATACCACCCTGAACGCGCCCGATCTCGTCTGATATTTTGATACTATAGAAAGTATATGTGTATTGGTGTACAGAATATATGAAATATGTTTATTTACATTAAGATATAAATTATGCATATTCATGTGATATAACATCTTAGTTCTGTTGTAACCATGGATTTTATTTAATAGGTGTTCCATTTGGTTTAAAAAATACGTCAAATCTCAGGCCCTTAAATCTGCTCCAGGTAAATGTGAAGTTTTTAAATTTTTATACTTTTTTTAAGTAAAAAATTGCATATATTTGTACAAATTTGAAATTTTGAGTTGTATTCAGAATCTTCTAAGGCTGTGATTGCTGTTGGTTTCTTTGTGTGGTCAGGTGGATCAGGAGAAAGCATTGTTATCTTCTCTAGGGATGAGACATGTCTGACCTGCAGACTATATTAGGCCCACAATTTCTTTTAATCCAGGCCTGCCAAGACAACCATGCACTTTGAATTCAGCAAACCCATAGCAGGCTATTTTTTTTTTCATTTTTTAAAAGATGTATTTGTTATTTGAAGGCAGCATGATAGACACAGGGATAGAAGGAGGCTGGAGAGTTGGGGACAGAGATATTTCATCTGCTGGTTCTCTCCCCAGCACTGGGTGGAGCAGGCCAAAGCAAGGAGCACAGAACTTCAAAGTTGACAATTTTGTTTGGCTTTCGAGTGATGCTATAAATATCAAAATAACCCCTGGCAGATAAAAGGTGCCATCTCTCAGCCCACTACAGACTGTTCTTTAATTGGCTCAGAGGTCTTGGCTGGGCATAAAGTAGCTTTTCCTATGGAAAGAGTTGAAATCTCCCAAGAGGAATACTTGCCAGGAGAATGGGAATATAAATAATTTCTCCCTAAGCTGATATTTACAATGTTACTTGCTTTAAAAAATGCATGAGATTCTGGGGTGTGTGTGTGTGTGTGTGTGTGTGTGTTCGTGTTCCCTAAGGAGAGTCTGATTTCCTAATGCTATGGCAGGAACCTATTAGTCATTCCATAAAAATTGCTCTAGCATATATCTAATAATGAAGCATTCCTTTCTTATACATCTTATCAGTATCAACATGTTTATGAAGAAATAGATGAAGGATTTGGTGAACATTGGGAACTCACAGTATTCTGTGTTTTGTGCTAGGTCCCTTGATTCAAAGAGAGTGTCAGATATTAAGCTAATGTGGTTTTCATTTTTAACCTAGAGGTTTCTGGATGTTTATTTCTTTGAAATTTTTGCTTTAATTTGAATTCGTTTGTAGATTTGAGTAGCTATTAGCTTGAAGCAGGAAAATTTCTGTTTTAGAATACTAACATTGGGAACTGAAAGGAATAGCGCCTAAATTCTTTTTCTAAATAGATCTTAAGAGCAGGCAGCGTGTTTTCTTTCGTTTCTCAGTGCTGATTCCTTAGTCTTGAGAAGAGTGCCTGATTTGTACAAAATATTCTTAAAATATTTGTGGAATCAGAAATTTAACTATTTTAAGTAAAGGTAATGAGGAATTAGCTAACTGTTGTTTCAATTCTGGTAGCTTCCAGGTGGGTCGCTCATCCTGAACACCCAGCAGCAGCAGCAGCAGCTCTCGCCATTTCCACCGCAGATGCCTCCGCAGCCTACCACTGCTAGTCCACAGCAGCCCGGGGAGCAGGTATGGCTGTTCTAGCTCCCATCTGCTTTTCTCATAGAATTTTAATATTTTGCATTTTTCAATGGTTTTAATTTGTTGGAATGAATATTTCCTGTGTTGTTTGTCTTACAACAGTATCAGTTATTGGTGTGATAACTGATGCTACGTCCGTCTTGCCTAGTAGGAATCATATTTAGAAATGAGTCACAACCAACCAAAGAACTGCAAAACCAGTAACCCAGACTTAGGTCTTTCTACCCATGTATTGTCTACCCAGTCCTCATTGCTGTTTATGATTTGCTACTCAGAAAGAGATGTTCCTATTACAAAATGTAAGGCAGTGATAACATGGACCAAACAAACCAAGAAAACAGATGTAAGTGTCAAATGAATGAAAGTGAGTGGAAACTGTAATAAAAGTAAAAGAAACTTACAGATACTTCTGAAGCTTGGCTGTGCTATGAATCAATCACTTGGGGAACTTGGAAAACACTCATTGCCAGGATCCACACACACTGTTTCTCTTAACTCACAAATACATGAAATGTTCACCACCAGTCCTTTGGCTTTGCTTGCTTGAGTAAAGCTCATCGGTTAGTAGACTGCAATGGTAATAATAGAAGAACACTTTCAGAATTGTTTTTATTTATTTTTAAGATAGGATTTTTGATCAAGTTTAAAATTATTGATTTGCTATCTTAAATTTTTTATAAAATTTTAATTGTGGCAAAACACATATAATATTTTAGTTTCCTATCTTAACCATTATTAAACATGCAGTTCAGCAATGTGAAGTATACTCACATTGTTGTGGGACAGATTTCTAGTATTATTTTCCTCTTGTAAAACGGACATTCTGTAACTAGGAAGTAACATCTCCTCTCTTCCCTCTCTCAGCTCCTGACAACCACCCGTCTGTTGTGTTTCTGAGTGTGTGTTTCTGTGAGTTTGACTACTCCATATACTTCTTATAAGAGAAATCACACCACTCTTTCGTCTGTGATATATTTCATTTAGCGTGAAGTTATCCGTATTCTGTCAAGTGTCAGCATGTTCTCAAGGCTGAATAATAATTGTATATGCTGGTTTTCTTTCATCTGTCAGTGGACGCTTGCATTGCCTCTATTGTTTGTGAATAATGTTCATAAATTGTAGATACTGTAAATAATGTGATTGTGGATATACCCCTTATCTCCTTAAGATCCATGTTCAGTTCTTTTGGGTATACCAAAAGTTAAATTGATAGATCTTACGATAATTCTGTTTACAAATTTGAAAACAAACTGTTTTCGTCAGTGGCTGTACTGTTACATTCCCAGTGAAAATGCACAGCACTGGAACTAAATTTTTGTCAACACTTAATTTTCTGATTTTTATGGTTGTTAAATTTATAGCAATGATCTACTTTGTGTTTTTTATTTATTTATATTTCTCTATTGATTCGTAATACAAAACATGTCATTTCCTTGATGACCAGTTTTTATGTATTTGGAGAAGTATGTATTCAAGGATTTTGTACACTTTTAAGCTGGCCTGGTTTTTTTGTGGTTGAATTATCGGAGTTATTTATACATTGTGTACATTAATGTGCCACATGGATACATGATTTACAAATTTTCCCATTTTTAAATTACCTTCTTATTTTGACTATATGTTTCACACAGAAATTTTTAACTATGACATAATCCAATTTCCCATTTTATATTCATTGACTGTGCTTTAGCAGTCATATTGAAGAAACAATGGTAAAATCTGAGCCATGGAAGTTTTTCTTTTTTTTTTTTTAAAGATTTATTTTTTATTATTTTTTCATTGGAAAGGCAGATATACAGAGAGGAGAGACAGAGAGGAAGATCTTCCGTCCGATGATTCACTCCCCAAGTGAGTGCAACGGGCCGATACTATGCCGATCTGAAGCCAGGAGCCTCTTCCGGGTCTCCCACGCGGGTGCAGGTTCCCAAAGCTTTGCGCCATCCTCGACTGCTTTCCCAAGCCACAGGCAGGGAGCTGGAAGGGAAGCGGGGCTGCCGGGATTAGAACCGGCACCCATATGGGATCCCGGGCGTGCAAGGCGAGGACCTTTAACCACTGAGCCACCGCGCTGGGCCCCATGGAAGTTTTTCATAGGTTTTCTTCTTCTAAGTGTCCTATACTCTCAGGTCTCTTTCTTTGAATTGAATGCAAATGCTTCCTTATGGTGTTTTGCTTTGTATTAAGTTTATTACTCATTTTCTCAAGAGGCCTAAAGATTTTTATCTTTAAAGTTTAATATCATATATTACCTATATGTATTAGAATTCTTTTTTTCTGTTCCAGTTTCTGTTCAATTTTTTTTCCTAGAACATTTTCTTGGATAATGGTCCAAGTTCTTAAAGTGGAAACCTTAGATTTGGGGTTTTTTTCTAAAATAAATATTTAATATTATGTGTTTCCTTCTTAAAACTGCTTAAATCACTTTTCCCAAATCTTACATGATGTGCCTTCACTTTCATTCCATAACATTTTCTGCTGTGTGTCATGAATTCTTCCTGGCTAGGCTACTTAATGTGTGTTCTACTGGAAGTTAGTCCAGACATCTTCTGTAACCAATTTCTAGTTTAAATTCATTGTGATCTAGAAACATTCACAGTGCTTTTAAGTTTTTTAAACAATTGTTCCAGAAATTATTTGTTGAAAAACTGTCCTTCATCAGCTGAGTTACCCTCTCATCTTTGTCAGAAGTCAGTTGCCTGTCTTTGCATGGGTCTGTTTCTCGATTTTCTGATCTGTTGTTGAATGTTAATCCCCTCCTGTCTTCATCACTGTAAACTCTGTGGAAAGTCTTACAACCGGACAGAGGGCTTCCTTGCACTTTTTTTTTCTTTTTTCAAAATTGTTAACAGCTACACTAAATCCCTTGCCTATTCATACAAATCTGGAGTCATTGTGTTTATACATTTACATAAAATCTTGCTCAAATTTTCAAAAGAATTGACTTTAATCTGTTTATCATCTTGATCATGTGAGTCTAGTCTGTGAATACGGTGTGTCTCTAGGTCAAAATCAACAATTACTGTGGAGCATTGGATATTCATAACCAAACAAGCTTGGATCTAATCAGGCATCTCATATAAAAAAATGAACTGCAAACAAACCACTGACTTAAAACAGAAAAAGTATTGATAGCACATGAGGCAATTTTGGGGTCTAAGGCTAGATGAGGGTTTTTTTTGTTTGTTTGTTTGTTTTAATTTTGATAAATTTTACATACTTGATTAGGGAACAAAGGTTACAGAAAAGTGGGTAAGTCCATTGCTTCCACATTCTGTTTTTTCCTTCCTATATCTAAGGGGAGGGGGAGACAAAAGGGAGAAGCCATACCCTCCCTCCCAACCATCCCAGGGTCCCCAACAAGGGGCATGCTCCAAGGGCACTGCTCAAGTGGTTTCAATAGTTCAACAGTTCTGAATTGCTGCCAGTCTCACATTTCCAAGCTTGATGAAATCTCTCCAGAATCCACTGGCTGACATAGTCCACCTTAGGGTCCTCTGTTGTACCCTGTGTCCTCCGTGGGCATCCAAGACCAGCTGCTACTGGTGGAGCTTAGAGCCTACCCCAGCCTAGCAGGCCTCCGTCCCAGCTGTAATGTGTACTGGTATGTGTTGCGACTAAACCTGACCTGACCCACACTCCGTTCTGGTACTTGGATTTGCCAGCAGGTGATGTGAACTGGTTCAGCCTGGTCTACCCCCGACCTATGCCCAATGTATGCCGGTGGGTACCTTTCCCTGGCCTGGACTAGGTTGCTCCCTATCATGGTTCTTGTACTCACATGCATGGACTGTGTCCTGACAGATGAGTTACCCAAACTCCTGCATCAGAATCTCTCCCTATGCCAGATCTTTTTTTTTTTTTTAAGATTTATTTATTTTTATTTGAAAGGCAAATATACAGAGAGGAGGAGAGACAAAGAGAAAGATCTTCTGTCCGATGATTCACTCCCCAAGTGACCGCAATAGCCGATACTACACTGATCCAAAGCCAGGAGCCAGCAGCTCTTCCGGGTCTCCCACGCAGGTGCAGGGTCCCAAGGCTTTGGGCCATCTTTAACTGTTTTCCCAGGCCACAAGCATGGAGTTGGATGGGAAGCGGGGCTGCTGGGATTAGAACCAGTGCCCATATGGGATCCTGGCGTGTGAAAGGCGAGGACTTTAACCACTATGGTATCGCGCCAGGCCCCCTATGCCAGATTTCACACATATCGGTGGGTCCATGATCCCTGCTCACTCCACCTCATGTCCTAGTAGGAACAGTGGCCTTTCCTGACTGGCATTCAACCCAATCTGGTTCTTACTGTTGGATGTTTCAGCCCAGCCAAGGCTCGTCCGTACCCAAACACAACTCACACATGGCTCAGTAGGAGCAGAAACCTAGCCTAGTCTGTCCTACATCTACCCTGGTCTTCCAGAGCACCAGGTGGTGCTGTAGTTTAGCCCGGCTTGGTGCATCCAGTCCCAGTCCACACTTATGCCAAGGGAGACTGCAGCCATGTCCAGACCAGAATGAAGCCCCGACTCCGGCTACCACACTCACCAGTGGGAACCTCAATCCAGCTAGGGTGTCCTCTTAGCTCCCCAACAAGGCTTGTTCCCTGTCATAGATCACGCACATGCCCGTGGTTGCTCTGACTCAGCTTTGCATAGCCCCTCACCTGTCTTGGCCTTTGCCTTTGAGACTGTTGCCTGGTATCCCTGGCTCATGCAGGCCAGTTGGTGTAAGAACCTAGCTCAGCATGACCTATGCTCTATCCTGATTTCTGTTCGTGCTGGTGAGCTAAGGTTTGCTCAGTCCTGCCCAGTCCGCTCCCTTTCATTACCAACCCACACGTTAGCCAGCCATTGCCGCTACTTTCCCTGGCTTGCCTGACCCCCAGGCCTCAATCATCAATTAGAGTTATGACTAACTAGGGGAGTTATCCCAAGTTCCCCCAGTTGACCCACTCCCAGACCCAGCTCTCATACATTCCAGTGGGTGTTAGGCCAGTGCCCAGCATAGTCTACCCTTCCGTTTTGGTCTTATATGAGCTGGTGATCATTGCAGCTTGGCCCACCCCACAACCTTTTTTAGGATGCACATTTGGGTGCTGCTGCCTTGACCTGCCCAGACTGTTGTCAGTTCCTTTACCCGTGAGTGATGGCAAGTTCCATAGTCACACCTAGTTTAGCCCATCACCACCCCAACTCTTGAGCTAACCAGCGGGACTTGTATTTGGACAGGGTTTGGGCCAAACATCCCCTATAGAATCTACCCCTGGACCTAGTTCTCTCACATGCTGCTTAGTGTCATGACCCTGCCTAATGTGACCTGTCCCCTGTTCCAACACTCAGTCAGGTACAGGTACCTGGCTCTGCCAGACAGGCCCTGCCCCTTCCCCTCCCCCCCCCACATAGCTTTTATGTGGACTGGCATATGGCAGTCAGCAATGGTTTGTGCCAACAGCCCATCTCAGGACTCCCATGTGGACTGGTGAATCAGTCTTGTCCAAATAGATCTTCTGGACTCTCCCCTCCAAACCACCAGGTCTCAGTCCCTACACTTGCCAGCAAGTTCCGTGACTCCATCACTGGGAGTCACACAGGATTCATCCCTCACCTACACTCACATTGGCCTTATCCATGGATGTCCCCAGGCAGCAATCACATACCCAAAAACCACAGAGCTCGCCACCGGGCAGCCAGCAGGCAGAGCCTGCCGCGCAAAGCCTAGGACTCACTCACCGCATGGCAGCAGTGACCATGGCCTGAGTCCCCAGCATTGGGTTCGTCCTGCCTGGCACAGACACCCCCCGCAGCCGCCATGTTGTAGGGGGCTCCTTTTGTCCCAACCCCATGGCTGAACACTGCCCTGATTCTTCCTGCCACAAGCTGGTGGTGGCAGGGTGGACTACATGAGTTCTTTAAACATGACCTGAAGCAACAGCCTGTTAAAAAGTATAAACTTGGATTTCATCAAACTCCTTCACAATTTCTCTGCAATGATAACCTTTGCTTTCACTGAGAATAAGTGTCTTCAGCAAAGTTTTATAGTTGTTGGCATTCACATTCTGTGCAAGTTTTGTTAGATATATATACCTTAATTTTTTTCCTTAGCAATTTTGAATAAAATTTTTTATTTGTTGCCACATTAGTTATGAGGACTGGGTTTTAGATGCTCATATTCTGCATTCTGCAATTCTAGTGAACTCACTTTAGGTTTTTTAAAATAAATTTATTAAGATTTTATACTTTAAGGCAGTTCAGACATCTTCAAATTGACATTTTTCATTTTGCCTTTACTAATTGTGCTTTTTATTTGCTAGCTTCAGACAGTAAACGGACATTCTAAGTTTTCTGAGTTCATGCTAATTCCAAATACTTTGCAAATATTTTTTAGTTTTTCTTTTTTACAAGTTGTAGTGTAATGTTCAGATATTTTCTCATACAGAAAATGAACTATCTCTTTTCACTAGATCAAGATCATTCCATTTTTGTACAAGTCTGTATTTTTTTATTTAGGGTTCTGAACAGGGTTCAACCAGTCAAGAACAGGCCTTACCTGCTCAGCAGGCTGCTGTTATTAACCTTACTGGAGTAGGAAACTTTATGCAGTCCCAGGCAGCTGGTAGGTATCTTAACTTCATATGCTGGATTTACTAAAATTATCTAATGAATTGGTCATCTCTTCCTTCTCCTCCTCTTGGAACTGAAATTGTACTTAATGTGTGACCCACTTATTCACTGATATTTACGGGTTTGTTTCCTAATATGAAAATTGAGCTTGGACTTGGGTTTTGATCACAGCTGTGTTTTCACTGTAGTAACACTTTATTGCCACAACAGCTGTAAATTACCAAGAAGCCAAAATTTGTTTTGTTTTCCAGAAATCATAACTCTACAGTTTTGAGATAGCATTTTCGATTGCATATCTCTTGCCTCACCCTGATGGGTTCTAGTTGTTTGACACAATTGGTAGTTACCAGTAACATAGCATCCATGTTAGCCTCAAATGATTATTCATTTTTTTGAGCAATAGTTAATTAAGATTTTTTTTATTATTTTGACATTGATATCCAATAATTCTAACATACTAATTAAAATCAGCAAGCCACATGCTTTAGTATTTGGTAGTTGAGCCATTAGTAAACATGCTGTCAGCATTCTGAGTTACCTCTGTAGGCGTACTGTGATGTTCCGGATCCTATTTGTGTGCCCCTTTGTCTAAATTTTTTTACGCCTTTTAGGATAATCCAGGTCTTTATCTTAGAAATAAGTAATTCTAACAAAGTTTTAATTTAGAGACAGTGAATTTCCAAATGGAAATTGTAACTTTGTATGTCTTGACCACACAAGCTGTAAAAAACCTCAGTATGTGAACTCCAGGCTGAAATCACAAGAATGTTCTTCATTCCAGATTTGCCATGAGTTACTTGAATTAGTCATTTATGCCATATAGCCTCAACCTTACTCATCTGTACAATGAGAAGGGTGAAGTTTAGTATGATCCCACTCAGCATGAAAAATGATGTATCTTAACTTGCTTTGTTATTAAGTTTGATATTCATTGCAGAAAGCATGTTAGTTTTGTCATTCTGACAGTATGGATTTTCTTCCATTCCCTTTCTTCCTACTTCACTGGTAATATTTAAAAAATAATGTTCCTTATTTTTTGTTGTACTCAAAAATTAAAATGAATAAACTAAAAACAAGAGTGCAAAAAAAAAAAAAAATACAGTGTCACTGCTCCTCAGGTCGGGGTGGGGGATGGCAAGCATTTCTGCCCCTCTGTCTAGAGTGCCTTAGTCCCTCAACTAACAAGAGATTATACTAAATGAACTCTGAAATGTCCATGCTTTGATACTTAGAGTTAACCAAACTGCTAACTCTTCATTTTGTGTTGTCCTTTTCTAACCCTGGTAGCCTTCAAGCCTTCTGACTGGCCTGCTTTCCCCTTCTCCTCTCTGTAGTGTTGTCTCAGCTTGGCTCTGCCGAGAACAGACCTGAGCAAAGCCTTCCTCAGCAGAGATTCCAGCTCTCCTCTGCCTTTCAACAGCAGCAACATCAGATACAAGTAATCCAGCAACTTCACTCTGATTAAAGATACTCAGCTCCAAAAGTACTTCGAAATCGTTTGGTTTAGTTTTTATTTGTTTAAGACCACAATAATTGATATAAATCACAGAAGTTTGTTGTCTGACATTTTAGCCAGTCAGCTTGGAGCACTGAATATATTTTGTACGTTTAAGCAATATCCTCCTCATAATTTGAAAACTTATGAAGTCTGGTGGCACATTTAACACACATATTTCTAGTTTGCAGTGTATTTTGAAATAGCTTTTCAGTTGTACTGCAGAGAAAGTGTTCCTAATAGTAAGTGTCAAACTTGCTGATGTAGAAAAATGAAGAAAAGTCAGCATATTATAGTTGACTATCTTGATACTCATGTTGGTTTTACATTGCTATAAACTATCATACAACAAAATGGTAACTGAAGTTGCTGAGTTACTGCAGTATGTATATTGGCAGGGTAAAGTACCAGAGATGATTTTGACTTTGGCAGAGTCCCTTTGAAGCCCTCAGCAGGCGACTGTGCCACTCGTGCTGTTTGTGTGTTGTCTCGGTGTGGTGTCGTCTGTCGTCCCTTCGTGTGATCTTGGTGCTTTCTCCCCTCCAGTGTTGTCGTTTTTGTCTGACAACTCAAACATCTGCCCACATTAATATGACTTGGTATTTATTTCCCTTCTTTTTGCAGCAGTTGCGATTCTTGCAGCATCAAATGGCTATGGCAGCGGCAGCGGCACCAGCACCAGCACAAACAGCTCAGCTACATCAGCAGCAGCATACAGGCAGCCAGTCAAAAAGTAACATGAAGAGAGGCACGTCTACCACTGCAAAATTCTGAGTCTTTTTTTTCCCTAAAAAGGAGCAAAAGGATTGTGTTTCTACTTTTTTTATGTGTATTTTACACTGATAGATGTACAAACTTTATACAAAAGCACAGCCCTATGATTTTTTAAAAATAAAAACAAGGAAATGGTTTAACATTAAAATTGGTTTGCCTAAGTCATTATTATACAAAAATTGTTTCCTTGTACATAAAATACGTGGAAGTAACCCAAGAAGTACTACAAACATCTTTCAGAAGTTTAATTTGATATTTATTCAGTATAAAAGGCTCGTGCATGGCACAGTATAACAACTGCAATTTTTACAAATCTTTTGAAAATGTGATAGCTGTTTATTTGGGTTTGATACTCTGAATTACTTCATCCATTAGTTTCTTTACTTCTTTATGTCTTGTAACTGCTCGGCTCATACAGTCTTGAAGTTTAGCTCCAGTCAGTCCACTTCCACCTGAAAAATTACTATATTACCACTTTTGTATTTAAACAAATAAGTCAGTTTTCAAAATAGCTATATCTAGTTAAAAAACAAAAAGTTGAATGATGCTATCCTGTGGCATTGCCTCCAGTTATGTAATTATTTTGTTGTTCCATGAGAGGCAGAAATCCCACTTGCTAATCTCCTCCACCCCTCAACTCCTGCTAGGGCTCAGGAGCCAGAAACTGCAGGTCTCACATGGGTGGCAGTAAGTCTGCTGCTGCCTTCCAGGGTCTGCATTAGCAGAAAGCTGGACACAGGAGCTGGAGCCGGAGAAGCCAGGCATTCCCACATGGCATGCAGGCATTCTAACTAGTGTCTGCGTGCAAGGCGAAATGCCAAAGCCCCACATGCTGTATTTTCATAAGACATTCAAGTGATTCTGATGTATATCAAGAACTACTGATACACAGTAGGAAAACATAAGCAATTTAAAGTAGCAAAGCTATAGTAAATTAACTGCAGGAAAACAGTACAACATTCCACACTGCACTCTGCCTCCCTCCCTTACTAAAGCTCATAGTGAGTTTCCAATTAAGACTAGAGTGGCCAGAACATGCCTGGTTTGTGAAGACAACAGAGCTTGCCATCCTCATCCATTACAACTGTTAAGGATCCTGTTGCCAGATGCTCCTCCTCTCCAGTAGGGTCAACTATAAGCAACGTGCTAATAAAATAAAAAAGAGGAAGTTACTAATTTATGGGGGAAAAATTATGATTAATAAGTCACATTCCACCTGAACTTTAAGGGTAGACTGGAGAGAAGCTAGAAAAGTGAAAGAAAAAAAACTGATTTCATACTTTTATGAAGTTGTTCTTTAATTTGTGAATATGTTAACTTCTCTAGCAGTTATTATAAATTAGCTTCAGGAAAATCTTCAGTGAAATAACTGAAAATTAACATTACGTACAATGTGTAAACCAAGCAACAGGCAAGGTTAGCACAGAATCAATCATCCAACGCAGAATGTTTAGAAATGTGAATGCAGACTAGAAATAAGTGTGCAGGGACGACAGGTATAAATCAGAGTCCCAGAGGAAAGCCGGAAAGCCCACAGCTGTTTCTTACTGAGTTAGGAAGCCAAAGAATGATCCATTCCCTTTACAGACAGAAGCATTTTAGTAGTCTGATTAACTTACTCATCAAACACAGCAAAGGAAGTTGCAACTGGGTGAGTTCTGATATTCAAGAAACTTCTTTTCTGTAAGTTAACTTCTGCTAAACCAGTTTCTTCATTAATAGTAACTTCAGGCAATTGTACTAGAAAAAGGCATTCAAAAAGTCACTTTGTAGTGCTAAGTAACAAATGGTCTCTAAGGCTTATTCATTCAATTTAACTTACCTAAAGCATTCTTTTAAAAACACAGCATTTAATTATTAGCATAAGGCTAATAAAACCAATATAAACATCGTTTTTCACACTTGACATTCATGCCCAGTGGTTGGTTTTTTTATTAGAGCTTAAGAATTCAAAATGAGTATTACTAGATAACACTCCTGGTCACTTTCTGTATGCCAGACAGTTTTAAGCATTTTCACATTTTCATTAGTTCATTTAATCATTGAAACTCTTGTCTACAAATATTGTTATTCCCAATTTTATTACAAATACAGAAACAAAAGCCAGATTGGTACAGACATGATCCAGACTTAGATCATCACTACATTAACTACATCTTCTTCCTCCACTTTGTACCTCAATTCAGCGACGTAATGATGGAGAAGAGAACAAGTCACTGAAACAATCAGTCTATTTGTTCTGCCATGTCTTACTACTACTGGTGGCTCACATGCATTAAAAGTGAGAACACGAGAATCCACTCTACTCCTCTTTGACAACATCTGTCACATTAGGGACTTAGAGAATACCTGCAGATCTTCACCAACCGCCTAGAGTAGTTAAAACTGTTAATGCTCCTACCAGTGTTACTTGGGAAAGGATTGTAGTACTAAGCTCAGATGGGAGTAGTTAGGGCAACACTCAAAAAGGCATTTAGAGAACAGAAAACTAACCAGTGTATTTGGGAAGTCACTGTCAGTTATGTTCATTAATTATATTTCATCTGAGATGCAGGCATTCCGTCCTGGTCTCCCATGTATGCAGGAGTCCAAATACTTGGGTCATCATTTACTGCTTTACCAGGCACAGTGAAACTCCAATATGGGCTGCGAGCATCTCAAGCAGTAGCTTAACTCACAGTGCCACAATGTCAGCTTCATTTTCATTAGTGTACGAATATATGAATGTTGGCTAACCCTTTAGAAAACCCTTTAAAAACTTTACTGAGCCAGTGATACAGAGGTTTCACAGGGGCTGGCACAACAACTCAGTTGGCTAATCTACCACCTCCAAGTGCTGGGATCCCACATGGGCGTCTGTTTGTGTCCTGACTGCTCCACTTCCCATCCAGCTCCCTGCTTGCAGCCTGGGAAAGCAGCAGAAGATGGCCTAATTGCTTTGTGACCATTTGGAGTGTGAACCAGTGGATGGAAGATCTTTATCTCTCTTCTCCGTAAATCTGCCTTTCCAACAAAAACAAATATTTAAAAATAAAAATGTTTCACAAAACAGAACGTTCTAACCCTTTAGGAAAACTGCCTTTCATCAGGCTACTTACCATTTTTTAAAGCCGCTAACAAAGCAAACGTACAGGCATCCAAAATGTTTCCATCATAATCAAGGCAAATGAGATCACAGTATAGAACCCAGGCAAGCTGAAACAGTATACATTAAAAGAAATTAAAGCCTTCTGGAAAGCAAACGTTTAGACTTAAGAAACAGAATCCTTGGACAGATATGCAAGATATGACTTTCATAGTTAAAAAAAATCTTTTGCCTTTAAAGTAGCAAGCCAGTCCCCAGGTTTGGTGACAGCTGGTTTTTGACAAACGAGCTGACAAGTGACAAACACCTCTTATTTTCCTCAAGGTAGCTAAAGTGTAGAAGAATTTCCCTTGGTGGTAAGTTACCAGATAAAAGCAGTTTTTTTGTTTGTTTTTTGATAAGAGCAGTATTTAAAAGCCACACCTGAAATTTAAAATGTAAACTTGGCCACAGAAACCCTACTCTGAGGGTACCTCAAAAAGTTCATGGAAAATGGAATTGAGAGTTTATGCTTTGATACAAAACATTCTGAAATCCCTTTCCCATAATAAGTATTTAACATGAACTTCTTGAACACTTCTTGTACATGAAAAGTTTAGGCTTTGTGGTGTTTAGTGCATATCTCCTAACAGGAAAAGCTTTTCTGTGTTCTAGTCAACCTAGTCCTGAAGTGCCAGACAGACTTGGGATCTACCTAATGGACGTGCCTTAAATACAGGTTAGCATGATCAGAAGTTAATTAAAAATCACTGCAGTTTTCTTTAATAAGTAACCCCTCTACAGGCAATAAATATGTTAAATCAAAATCATTGTTTCTTAATTTAGATAATTATGAAGACAGTTTCTAATCGAATTTTTTTTTCAGAATCTTGTCTCATATCTATAAGCCACTGATATTTAAAATTGCAATGGTTTGCTGTTTTAATTTTCCTGACCACTTTTCCCCAAGAAAAAAAATCCTTACTAAAAAGCGCAAAATGTTTATGTTCCTCTTACCTTTCCAGGGGAAATACATAAGTCTTCTTTCTGAATTATCTGTGAACTTAATGACAAAAGAGTATACATTAAACAAAAGGCCAAATTATATGAACATGAATGACAATAATATTTGATCATGAGGTCTTACTTTTCAATAACATCGGCAATGAACTGGCTGGCCACTTGGGCCTCTTCTCCAGGAGGGCCAGACCGAAATCTCGACGAACACAGGGGTGGTAGATCCACATTAGGAACTGAAAGAAACACTCTGTAGCTATGAGCTAAACTTGTGGTTTATTCAAGGGTTAAAGGTATTATCAATCCACCAAGAGACTGTGGCCATGTAGTTTCCAAGTAGAAAGCACTGTTTTATCAAGTGGAGGAACTTGGGATAACTCCCCTAGAGGATCATAGCTCCCACTGGAGAACACATGGTCCAGACCTGGGGGTTGGACAAGCTGGGCAAAGTAGCTCCAATGCCTGGCTACTGTGGGGTTGGTAGTGGAACGGGGTGGACCGGGCAGGACTGAGCAAACCTGAGCTCAGAAGCCAAAACAGAAATCAGGATGGAGCACAGGTCATGCTGAGGTAGGTTCTTACACCAACTGGTCTGCATGACGCAGGGACTCTAAGGCACAGAATCTAAAGCAAAGGCCAAGACAGGTGAGGGGCTATGCCAAACTGGGTCACAACAACCACTGGCATGCGCATGGGCTAAGGGGACACCCTAGCTGGATTGAGGTTCCCACCGAGGAGCGCAGGTGCTGGAGTGGGGGCTTCTTTCTGGTCTGGACATGGCTGCAGTCTCCCTTGGCACAAGTGTGGACTGGGACTGGATGCACCAAGCCGGGCTTTAAAACTCCAGCACCATCTAGGCTAGGTCTCTGCCCCTACTGAGCCATGTGTGAGTTGTGTTTGGGTACGGACGAGCCTTGGCTGGGCTGAAACATCCAACAGTAAGAACCAGATTGGGTTGAATGCCAGTCAGGAAAGGCCACTGTTCCTACTAGGACATGAGGTGGAGTGAGCAGGGATCATGGACCCACCGATATGTGTGAAATCTGGCATAGGGAGAAGTTCTGATGGAGGAGCCTGGGCAACTCCTCTGTCAGGACACAGTCCCTGCAGTTAAGTGCAAAAAGTATGATATGGAGCAGCCCAGAACAGGCCATGGAAAGGTACCCACTGACATACATTTGGCACAGGTCGGGGGCAGACCAGGCTGAACCAGTTCACATCATCTGCTGGCGAATCTGAGCACCAGAACAGCGTGTAGGTCGGGCCAGGTTTGGTCGTGACAAAAACCAGTGCACATTATGGAAAGCCAAGGTGAGGTGAGCCATACCAGATGTGGCTGCAGCACCCAAACAGTACATGAGACCAAGGGAAGGACTGGGCAAAACCGGCAGGGGGAATGTGGGTTCCCCTGCTGGATTCAACCATTCCCACTGGAGAGCATGGGTTGGGATGAGGGTAGACCAGGTCAGGCAGGGCTACAACACCTGTGGGCCTCATGTGGACTAGATCACGGAAAAGCCAGGTTGGGCTGACTGTTCTGACTTGTGCAAGCAAAAATTAGCATGGGTGAGGGATGGTTGGGCTTTGCTGCAGCATTAGCTGGCAGATGCTGGCACTGGAGGCTAGTTCTGTCAAGTTAAACCACAGAACCACCTGGAGAGTGCATGATCTGAGATTGGGAGTGGCCTAGTAGGGAAACAAGGGGCACCTCCCTCTTGGTTTACCACTCCAACTGCAACGCATGAAAACCAGGACTTGGGACAGTGGTAGCTAGACAGAGAGTGACAGGCAGCAAGTGTGTGGCTCAATAGTGGAGCTGGTTAGGTTGAACAAGGCTTCAAAGCTCACTGACATGAGAGCTGAATGGGATGTGGGTAGTCTGCTGCATATACTAGCAAGCACAAGGACCAGGGCAGGGGGCTGGCCTTGTGGGTTGCTCTGACTGGGCTGCAGCTCCCACTGGTTTATGTGAGGGCTGAGTGTGTGCTGAGCAGAATCAGGCTGGACTGCAACACTCATTGGTTCCAGTGGAAGACAGGGCTAGAAACAGAACCGACCCAGCAATTGCAACCACCAGCTGATTGGGACAATGGGTTATAACGGGCCCCGTACTTATTAGTACACACAAGAATCTGGTCTGGGAACACCTCAAAGTTTCTTTGGGGATCTCCCCAATCGAACTGCCGGACTCAGAACCCTAACCATGAAGAGAAGTGCAGATTCCATGGTCTGCCATGGAGTGCAAATGCCACAGTTGAGCCTCCTAAGAGGTTCAGACGGATAAGTGGAGAGCATAACCAGGTACACATGGAGGATATGGCAGTCTATCGGGACCTGCAGAGGATACCTGGCACCACAACAGAGGACAGAACAAATCAATCTACTACCCCAGCAAATGTTGGCAGTGAAAAACTGGGCAAACAGAGACTCTAAGGTAGACTATATCAATCAGTGGATTCTGCAGTGACCTCATCATGCTTGAAATGGCGAGACTGGCAGCAATTCGCAACTGTTGAACTATCAAAACCACATGAGCAAGACCCTCAGAGAATGCCCCACATCGGGGACCTGGGGTGGGTGGGAGACTGGGTGGGGCTTCTCCCTTTATCTCCCTCTTTACCCCAGATATAGGAAAAAAATGTGGAAATAATAGTCTTACCCACTTTCATGTAGCCCTTGAACCTTTGTGCCCTAATTATGTAAAGATTGTCAAAAATAAAGAAAAAATTTCAAAAAAAATTATTTAAAAAAAGAATACATATACATAAAGACCAATATATACATAGAGACCAATGCTTCTGGGCCTGGCATGGTAGCCTAGGGGCTAAAGTCCTTGCTTTGCATGCCAGGATCCCATATGGTCTCTGGTTCATATCCCAGCTGCTCCATTTCCCAGCCAGCTCCCTGCTTGGGGCCTGGGAAATCAATAGAGGATGGCTTAAGGACTTGGGACCCTGCACCTGTGTGGGAGACCCAGAAGAAGCTCCTGGCTTCTGATTGGCTCAGCTCTGGCCATTATGGCCACTTGCGGAGTGAATCAGTGGATGGAAGATCTTTCTGTCTCTCCTTCACACTGTATATCTGACTTTCCAATAAAAATAAATAAATCTAAAGAAAAGAAAGCCTGTTTTAAAAACTTGCTTTGACCACTGTAAGACTACAGTCTTAGAAGAAATGCAAACGTTCACATTTTGACCTTTTTTTTTAACATGAGTTAGGCTTCAATTCAAAGTCCTTCATAAAAGCTTTCTTAATTTTTTAAAAAATACTTCTTCAGTCTGCAGCCAGATAGCCCCTCTTGCTCACACTCATATTTTTGCATTAAAAAACTGATTCTGCAGCAGGCAACTGGCATAGCTATGAAGGCATTTACACCATACTGGAGTAATGAGTTCCATATGCAGCTCTGCTCCTGCATCCAGCTTCCTGCTAATGCAGACCCAGGAAGGCAGCAGGAATGTCAAAGGACTGCATCCCTGCTCCCTCAGCACCTGGCTCCCACCTTCAAATCTGTCCCAGCCATTACAGGCATTTGGGGTGTGAACCAGGATGGACATGCTCAGTCTGAAAAAAAAAAGTTGATTTTACCATAAAGAACTTGATGTTCCGCAAGGAAAAACTGCAATGGGATAAAATGAAGAATAGATGGAAACTGAAAAGTGTTTGATAATTTTGTGACTTAAAATTATTTTCCATCATTGATGACATCTGGCTTTATAAAAGCTTCTCTCAAAAGTCTGGTAAGTCTAAATGTATGAATTTCTGTATCCTGCTGTCACACTGTCTTCTGCTTACACACACAAAGTTTCTGGAGAAAATGCTTCAATCCTATGTTAGCAACAATTTTCTTCAACTGCTAGGAGTTAAATATAATTATCTGCTTTAAATTCTGTATTTGTTTTTCAAATTATAAAATCATTTAACTTACCAACATATCCTTTATCAGGGGAATCTGTTGGTGGTGCTGCAAATTCCTATGGAGGCAACAAACGTTTCTTAGTGAAGGTGAATATTAAAAAACTGAAGACAGGGGACTAATACGATGGTGCAATTGGCGAATCCTCAGCCTCTAAGCACCAGCATCCCATATGGGTGCCAGTTCATGTCTCAGCTGCTCAACTTCCGATCCAGCTCCCTGCTTGTTGCCTGGGAAAGCAGTGGAGGATGTCCCAGAGCCTTGGGACCCTGTACCTGTGGGAGAACCGGAAGAAGCTCCTGGCTCCTGAATGGCTCAGCTTGGCCACTGTAATTAGCAACTTGGGGAGTGATCCAGCAGAAGGTAAACCCATGTAAATTTGTCTTCCAAATAAAATAAATTAAAAACGAAAAACCAAAGACCTGTGAAGACAGTTTAGCCTTCGCTCTAAAGTGCTGCTAAAGAGCATCTGGGTTAATTAAGTACGACATTCTGGGCGTCCACTTCGCCTGGGCTGTTAGGACGTCAGTACCGATCCTCCCCAGACCTCTGCAAGGACGGCAGGCAGTGACTGCAGACCACACCACACGTCGGCTCACCCAATTACCCGGCAATCTCTGAAAACAATGCGAACTGAGTTTCTGCCTCGTACTCCCTTCCACTCATGAAGTGGCCAAGACTCTGAATTGAAGCCCCAGGTTAAGGACAAAAGCTCAGCAAACCTACCCTGAAAGGTTCTGGGCAGGTTATTATCTCAATTTCAACTTTCTCATCTTTTAAACGGGAAGAATAATAGTATCCATTCCTACAGTCTGCTATTGAAGATTCAATGGTAACTGTTGTTAAATCCCCAGCATAAAGGGGTAAGTGCTTAAATCTTAATTATGGATACCAACCCAGCTGGGGGAAGAACCCTAGGGTGTAGTGAAGTCAAAATGGCAGGTGTTAGGGTTAGATTTCTAAGACCTTCTGGGATTGGGGAAGTTACCTGGACAGGTTATTGACCCTCATCTATAAAACAGAAGAGAGAAATATGGCTATTCAAAAGATTAAACTGAGTAATTCTAAAAACACCTTGCTGTTTTTTGCAAGTTTTCTGCCAACGCCAGCTAATGTTTCACTGAGCAATCTCAAGTTTAGTCACATTTATGCAAGCTAAATACCAACACTGGCTTTTACAGCATGTCACCAGCACTCTCCCTCAACTTCTTAACTATTAACAACAATGAGGGGGGGATTGAAACAGTTAGTTCATTTCTTGATAGGTTTGACAAATGCTCATAAATTAAGTAATTAAACTTAGGTCATATGATGTAGTACACACAGGCCAAAGCTCAGAGAAACTGAATACTACATAACTGACACCTGTCTACTCCCAGAATTAAAGGTGTACGTAAGTTACCACCTAGGGAATGAATGAAGCCAACTTGGTCATGCAAATCCCCGCGGCACACGGGTTAAACTTACTGCTTTCACTCCACAAATGACCGTGGTGTTTCCCAGCTTCACTAGAGCAGAACCATCTGCAGTACTAATGGAGCCTGGAAAGTAACCAGAACAAAAGGATCGCAACAGAAAAGTCACAGAAGTAACTACATGACAATGAAAACTGCCTGTCCCATGTTGACCACATGTGATTATTTTGCTATACATCCGTGGTTTATAAAACCTCACTCCAAGTTTGAGCCGCTGATTTTAAAATGATATAACTAAGTCAGTATTTTGAGAATTATCCAACTATCCCTGAAATTGAATCAGTGATTTTTGTCACAGGAATTGTAGTACAGATAAAAGTCTCTTGACACAAAACCATTGAATCAGTAACACAGTCAATTTGGCTAAAAAAACCATGTCTGCGGTTCAGAAGGCTAAGACTTGGAAATGTCACACAGCTGAAACTGGAACACATCCTCACCTATATTGACAGTCGTGGTTCTGAATTCACCAAGTTCTCTTCCATCAGGGCGACAATTCTCTTTCTAAATCGAGATTTTTAAAAAAAGTGGGTTATATCTAAATGTGTATGTGACTCACACCAGAGGAACTACATTAAACACACAAATGAATTTAACTTGAAGTGTGTCTTTGAAAGAAGCATGTTCTCCAAAGGCACCAGAGCCAGGGCACACTAGGTAAGGCCACCGCTGGCACCCTGTATGGGCACTGGCTCAAGTCCCAAGTGGCCCAGGTGCTTGGCCATCTGTGCCCATGGGAGGCCCAGAGAAAGGTCTCTGCTCCTGGCTGGGGAGTCCCCCACCTCTGGCTATCTAACTTTGCTTTTCAAGTAAAAAATAAGTAAAGAAGCAGCACAGTACGTACATACCCGCATTACTCACCAGAAATCTTCTGTAATACTCCAGCGGTTCCACTGTTCTGAAACACACATAAATACCGTGGTAAATTCATGAATCTTAACTGGCAAAAAAAATTTAAGAATATGGTGATCCACCACATACGTTCACAATTTCTAAGTGTCTTTTCGTACATGCTGATGCTTATGTTACTGCACACAAACACGTGGAATCTAAAAAGTTCAAAGAAACTGTGTAATTTGGAAAAAAAACAGTACATGAATTTCAAGGATTGGAGCATCAAAATTTAACTCTGCTCTATATAATCTTTTGAAGTAACTTTGTAACTGTAGAAAGTATCTACTCTTCTAAGCAGCCTTCCCAGGGCTGCTTTAAACTGTCTTCCCTATCGGGCATCCTGAGATCTTCTGCATCTTTAGAAGTGGGCTTTTAGTCATCAATTCTGCTGAGGCAGAGATTTTTAACCTAGTAATCACGAGAGAAAAAAGTCAGCTTTTTCATTGTAATTGAACTTTAGCATATACTTTTGGCACAACCTTCAATTACAACTGCAAGCCGGTAACAAACCATTGGAATACTAGCAGAATCAACAGGTCCGAGAACATGTTTTGCTTTTCACTTTTCTACAAATGTGAAGTGCGTTGAGGTTCATCCTTCACTTCTACGAGTTGCAGGGTACCCCTCATTACTACTTTAGGAAAGTTAATTTCACAACATGAAGAGTTCAGACACAATAACTACTTCAATTACAATTTGTTTCCTTTAGGATTCTGTTCGCTTTCATCCGTTTTAAAAACGTGACTCTGGGGGACGGGGGCATCTACACACGAGGTTAGAAAGCCCCACCCCGAGTGCCCAGGATGCCACACCGGTGCTGGTGCCAACTCCGTGGAGGAAGCGGGCGATGGCTCGAGTGCCTGGATTCCTGCCACCCACGTGGGACCTCGGGAGGACTGTCCAGCTTCCAGCTTCGGACACACGAGGACTGTCCAGCGGACCGGTGTCTTAAGGACGTAAGTTAAAAAAGCAAACCACGACGGAGAAGAATCCACACGCTTCGACAGAATGGCACCCCAACAAGGCTTCCCCAGTCAGAGGGAGCACGGCCCAGCAGGACCGCACCAGGGTCTGCACCCCAGTCCCGCGCGCCCCGGAGCGCACACGGCGCTGCAGCCCTCCATCCCCCGTCCTCTCCCTACGACCACCGGCAGGTCCTCCGACCCCGTCGCCCGCTTCGGCGGGGGAAAGATAACGAGACCCTGATGGAGTCGACTTCCACGTGAGAAAAATCTCAGCTGAGGGCTCGGGGAAGCCTCCATGCACCACGAGCCTCCGCTCGGGCCCGCCAGAAGCCAGAAACGCCACCCGGCGACACTCACTTGAACCCGGCCGCCATCTTCGCGCGCTCGCGCCTGCGCCGTGGCCGCGCGTCCCGTCGTGGCGCGTCACGGCCGCGCGGGGGCGCTGCGGGCGGAGGGCGCCCTGGCCGGCCCGGCCTCTCTGGCGCGGGAGGCGGGGCGGAGCGGGCGCACTTCCGCGTGTGTGTAGGTGCGGGATAGGGCGGGAGTGACGGTCCCGGCATGGAGGATGGCTGCGCTCCTGTTGCAGCTGGCGGTGCTCGGCGCGGCGCTGGCTGCCGCAGCCCTCCTACTGGTGAGCACAGAGGCGGGGGGCGGCGTGGGCCTGGGTGACACTGCTTCCTGGACCCGCGACCCCCTGCCCGGCAGCGTCCCCCTCCTGGTGCTTTTTTTTTTTTTTTTCTTCGCTTCCTCTGAATTCTGGAATTCAGCTTCCTGTCCTGGAATTTCCTTCCCCTTTCCTGGGACTCTGCTCCCAGGACCCTGTAAACGTCTTCGCATGGGTGTCTCCACCCAGGCCTTCCTTGCCCCCTGACTCGGGACCCCCTGCCCTCCCAACCTGTCAGCTTCCACCTGCCAGCTGCACCTGCAGTCTTTGCATTTCTGCCTCCTAGCCCCTCCCCAGGAACGTCTTCAGCCCCTCAGCTATTCAGTGTTTTATAAATTAATGATCGTGAAGATCCTCCTAGGATGCAGTAGAGCTGCAAGGCCCAGGCCTTGTCATGCTTGAATCAATCTAGGGGTCGTGATGTCCCAGAATAAATCGCCAGAATCGCAGAGTCCACACTCGAGTTTGCTTTGCCATAACTCCAAATACAGAAGCATCAAAACAAAAAACCACCAGAAAAAAACGGTGCCCCCGTAACTGTTACAAAAGTTACCGAGTGAACTGTGCTCCTACATAACTTGGAGTGAATCTGCCATCTGGCTAGTAAATGGACCCTGGCAATGCCCTGGAAGACGAGGAGGGCTGTTCTCCAGGGGTGCCCATTTGCACTTTATGAACAGTGTAGGTAGAGGAAAATGGACATTGCTGCCTGACCTGTCCCTGGGTGCTAGAGTGAGAGAAGGCCTTCTGTGAGTTTAGGGTTCCTCCCCTAGTTTGGGGGCAGATAAGATTTTGATGGGGTGTTCCCCCAGTTGGAGCCATCTTACTCTGACTGCATTGCACAGATTGAAACGTGTGTGTTATGGGGTAGTGGTGACAGTCGTTGATCCTCCTGGCTTGAAGTGATCATCAATAGAGCTGTCTTGTTAAACACAGTGGTTGGGTATCGGACTGCTTCAGCAGAGGTTGTATGATGGTAGTACTATCGGCGTCCTTGTGCTCTGGGGAACGGGTTGGAGCCATTGCCTGCATGTTCTCAGGTGTGGGATGTTTTGTTTGTAAGCCCTCAGCATTGTTTGGGAAAGGATCTTCTGTTCAAGCTGCAAGCACTAAGCAGGGCTTGCGATTGCTGTGTCTGACGGTTCTCCTGGGATCCAGTTCCGGGCCTTCAGCTGACTGCAGTCCGGAGCCGCGGGGGTTACCATGCTGATGTATCTGAGCTCTCCAGGATCTCCTGACCGCTGCCTTTGTTGTCCGTTCCTTGTCTTTGGTGGAGGCCTGTCCTGTCCATTCCCCACACGCTGGACTTCATTGGTCCCCTCTTGGTGTCTCACATGTCTTCCTCCGAGCCCTGGATTTCCTAGAAACTGAGGATCTAGAGATTTGTTCAAGTGCATGTTTAAGGTGGTAGTCAAGATTTACTTATGTATTTGAAACAGCTACACAGACAGAGGAAGAGCCAAAATTTTTAAAAAGAAAAAAAAAAAAGGAAAGCTTTTCCATCTATTGGTTTGCTCCTTAAATGACCACAGCGTCCCGGGGCCAGCCCAGGCCTAAGCCAGGATCTGGAGTTTCTCTCTCCTGGGTGCAGGGGCCCAAGCACTTGGCCATCCTCCACTGCTTTCCCGGCTGCATTAGCAGGGAGCGGGGTTGAAAGTGGAGCAGCCTTGTTCCCCACTGGCTTGCAGTGGCAGCTTTACTCACTATCCCACGGGGCCAGCTCCAAGTTTAAGGGTTTGTTTTTATGCACATATTTATTATTTTCTGTGGTGCGGATTTGTAGGTACCCCCACACCTCCCCTTCTTCACCTAGGCATCTCCCCTCCCGCTGTTCCCCCCCCCCACCCCCCCGTTATTACAATCATACAGTCCTTCAGCAGGCACAAGTCCAACAGGCTTCTGTTTAGTATGTCATGGCGTGGTAGGTACAGGCAGTGCTAGGACATCTAGTATTATGTCACCAGGATATATTTGACCATTTCATTGGGAGTCTTCCTCCTGTTTTGTGGTAGAGGTATCTTTACTTCCCAGTTAAGGATTTCTTCAAGAAGGAAGCTCTGAGTGGTGGTAACTGTTTTCTCTCAGATCTTATCAGGAGGCGGGGATCAGCCCACAATCACCAGTTGAAAAGTTTGCCATCAACCTAAAGATTTTAGGGACATTTCATGGTCTTTATCAAAACGCTTTATTTACTGTGGGTTACAAAGTACAACATTCTAATTGTATTTATTACCTAGAGTTGTATAATAGAAAGAATATTGTCCTCGGCTATTCATTTACCTTGAAATACCTTTCAGACATAAAAGGAAAAATAAAAGTCAGTTTTTCAAACTGTGAAATGGTTCTCTGAAGTAAAGGCACAAGTTTTCTCTTTCAGCACTATGAATTCACAATTTAAAGGTGTTCATGGGTCTTAATCCATTGTGATCTATTATTATTTTCGACACTCACCTCCTCCCGTGCTGGGCCGATGGAAGAGCCTTCGAGGAGCTACGTTTTCCTTCTCGGTTACTGAGGCTGCCTCTGCTCCCGGGCTCGGGGTGCTGGTCCGCCACCACTCAGCTCCAGCCCCGGCTCTGAATCAACCCTCACCTGGGGAGCACTGGCTGCTTCCAGTGCCAAGTTGGATTTCAAGCGAAATCCCTGTTCTTCACACTAGGCGCAGAGCAGGGATGTAGCGAGAAAAGGGGAGTAGGGTACCACTAGGGGGCTGCCCATGCCCCATGCAGTGTTCTCCAGACTTTATTAATGAATTAAAAGCCGGACGTGAATATTTCCCCCAAAGAAAAATAATCATGCACATGATGTATTCTAACATAAATACAAAAATGACTTAGGATAACAATTTTTTTCCATGTCTACTTTTAGATTTCCATTGTTGCGTTTGTAACTGCTACAAGAATGTCCCCGCTTTATCAACATGAAGAAGAAAAGTTCTTTTTAAATGCCAAAGGCCAAAAGGAAGCTTTACCCAGCATATGGGACGCCCCTACCAAGCAGCTCTCTGTCGTCGTGCCTTCATATAATGAAGAAGAACGGTGTAAGCCCTGTTGGATTTTTTCGGAGGGGTGGGGTGTATAGGAGACCTGGGAAGAAAAAGGTATTAGAAGTGTGTGACCTCCCTGCGTTAGCCAGAGCATTGCTAGTTGCTAGCTGTGGAGAGTGCGTGGCTGGTAGCGGGAGCTGAGAAGAGGGGTCGTGGATGTCCCTGTGTTACACAGGAGCCGCTGCAATCAAGCAAGACGCGAGCAGGAGACAGGTATTCCGGGTGGGAAAGGCTGAAAGAGGGTGCTTGAATTAATGGGCCTTTTTCTGTATGTAACTGAGCCTATGAGGGGTGGGGACATCATTTTCACAAATGATTTTTACTGTTTCTTTTTTGCCTTGAAGTGCCTGTGATGATGGACGAAGCCCTGGCCTATCTAGAGAAGCGACAGGTATCACATTTCCTCTTTCAACATGTAGTGTCCAGCTCAAACTACAGGGGGGTCACCTACTTGAGGACCCTAATCTAGCCTCACTGCGAGAACAGAACTGTCTGAGCCCCTATGTCGAGGCCACTCTATTGCTCTGAGCCCCTTGTTAGTCCTCAGTGCTTAATGGGCAAGTCCAGCACATAGCATGCCACCTCTGGAACCGGTGGGTGACCCAGAAGAAACCAGAAGTTGGGCATTTTCCTTTACGCACCTTACTACCCACTTTTTATCCTCTCTTACCTGATGCTAGTGGCAGGATATGCTCTGCAGACTTTGATTACAGTGAAATACAGATTTTACTTTGGTGACATTTTTGGGGAGTAAGATTTTATTTATCTTTTTTTTTTTTTTTTGGATTTATTTTTCTTGAATAGGTAGATTTACAGAGAGAAGGAGATACAGGAGAAAAATCTTCCGTCCACGGGTTTACACCCCAAGTGGCCACAACAGGAGGAGCTGAGCAATCTGAAGCCGGGAGTCAGGAGTTTTCTTCTGGGTCTCCCACGTAGGTGCAGGGTCCCAAGGCTTTGGGCCGTCCTTGACTGCTTTCCCAGGCCACAAGCAGGAAGCTGGATGGGAAGTGGAGTAGCCGGGATTTGAACCAGCTGCCATATGGGATCCCGGAGCATGCAAGGCGAGAATTTAGTCACTAGGCTATTGGCCTGGCCCACTTTGATAATTTTTTGAAAAGGGTTTGTTTTTGAAGAAGTTTTATACCTGATAATACTTTGTGTTTCTTATTTTCTCTTTTTACTATATATATATATTTTTTTTATTTACCTGAGAGGGGAAGGGAGAGAGAGGCTGATCTTCCATCGCTGGTGTACTCTTCCAGATAGCCGCTAGAGCAAGGGCTAGGGCAGGCCCGAACCGAAAACCAGGGACTCCATCCAGCTCTGCCACGTGGCTGCCGGGCTGTGACAGTTGAACCATCTTCCACTGCTTCCCAAGGCCCCTTAGCAAAGAGCCCAGTCGGAAGCAAAGCAGCCAGGACTTTGGTCTGGGATGCTGTGACCACAGCATCGTCCTAGCCCACTATATTACAGCAGCAGCCCGTTTTGTGCTTCTTTATTCTGGAGAGTTCCATTCTCACGTAAGGAGATTAACAAGTCCTCCACACCTCTGTCCCGGCATCAGCCATTGGTGGAATCTCCTAGGAGAGGCAAAGAATTAAATGAGCTTTATGGCTTATTCTTTTTTAAAATTCCTTGCTTGATTTCCTTCTGAATTTTTTTTTTATATGAAGGGAAAGTTTACTGAAAGAA